GGGAGTGCCATGAAGATGGCATTAAGTTCTGCAATCAAAACTAATTTAGGCAACAAGCTTGTATGCCTACCAAGAGGAGTGAATGACAGGCTCATGACAATGTGATTGCCACTTACAAGAAAGTTTCATGCCACCAGCATCAGTGTGTATGCTCCCACCATGATGAACCCTAATGAAGTCAAAGAAAAATTCTATGAAGACCTGGAGACCATGTGCCAAAAAAAGGACAAGCTTATAATTCTGAATGACTTTAATGCAAGAGTAGGTACAGACTACCAGGCATGGCAGGGAGTCCTTGAAAGGCATGGAGTCAGAAACAGCAACAGCAATGGTCACTTATTATTGAATACTTGTGCATCCCATGACCTCATCACCAACATTGTCTTTACCTAAATGCAACAAAACTTCATGGATTCACCCTCTCAGCAAACATTGGCATTTAACAGAATATGTGATTGTAAGAAGAGACAGAGAGGATGTGACAGTGACAAAGGCAATGTGTGGTGCAGAGTGCTGGACTGATCATAGACATCCTCTCCAAGCTAAATGTTTGCATCCAACAAAAATGGTGGCCCTAAGGCAAGATGACTACCAGAAGATTTAACATCAACAGATTAGAGTGCTTTTCTGAGAGGAACATCTCCTAGTTGCTTACTTATTATAACAAACTGCTAACTTGGAGGAAAGCTGAACCAACACGGCAACAGTGGAACAGAAAAGAAGTGGGCAGCTTTCAGAGATTTGGTGTACAGCAATGCGTTTACTCATTCGGGCCAGGACACTCGCACACATTAAGATTAGTTTGACAAAAATGATGGGGAAATCAGAAACTGCTAAATGTAAAATGAGAACTCCACTGGGTTTACTAGCAAGATAGTTCATCCATCTCTAAGAAGGCAGCATTTAACTCCATCAAAAGTAAACTGCAGGGGCAGCTAGGTGGTAGAGTGGATAGAGCACTGGCCCTGAAGTCAGGAGGACCCGAGTTCAAATGAGGCCTCAGACCAAACACTTGACACTTACTAGCTGTGTGACCCTGGACAAGTCACTTAACCCCAATTGCCTTAAAAAAGAAAAGAAAAAAAAACAAAAGTAAAGTGCAAATGAAGCTTAGAGATATGCAGGATTCTTAGCTCAGTAAGAAAGCAGATGAAATTCAGTTTTGCGCTGACTGAGTAATAATCCAAACTGCTTTTGTGATGATCTGAAGGCTATTTATGGGCCAAAGACCTATTGTGTACATCAAATACTCAGTGCTGATGGAGCCACATTGATTAATGATAAGGACAAGATCCTGGAGAGGTAGGTTACAGATCATCATCAATCAATGTTGAAGCCACAAACTGTATGCCTCAAGTTTGAAGTCAATCCCTCTGTAGCCAAATTTCCAACTGAAGAGGTTTTGAATACCATTTGCTTCTCTTGTGTGGCAAAGTGCCTGCTGCTGATTCTATTCCAGCTGAGATTTACAAGGCAGGGGGTCTACTCATACAAAAGCTGACTAAAATTTTCCCAGTTACATGGCAAGAGGAGATTATCTCCCAGGAGTTCAAGGATGCCTCCATTGTCCATCTCTATAAAGGTAAAGGAAATAGGTTGCCCTGTGACAATCACAAGGTGGAGGCAGGAGGGTCTCTCTCTTAGTCATTGCTGGCAAGATTCTTGTTAGAGTCCTCCTTAATAGGTTGATCCTTCACCTGGAAGATGGTCATCTACCTGAGAGCCAGTGTAGCTTCAAAAACGGCCAAGGAATGGTTGATATGGTGTTTGCTGCCCCACAACACCAGGAGAAATGCCAGGAACAGAACAGAGGTCTGTATACAATGTTCATTGATCTGAACAAGGCCTTTGATACTGTCAATCATAAGGGATTGTGGAAAATTATGGCAAAATTTGGGTGCTTGGAAGTTCATCAAGTTCATCAGTATTGTACATAATTTGTCATTGTTTCATGATGGCATGCTTGCTTAGGTTCTGGATAACGGACAATGCTCTTGCACTTTCCCAGTTACCAATGGAGTGAAGCTGGGCTGTGTGCTTGCTTCCATACTTTTTAGCACGATGTTTTCAGCAATGTTGTCAGAAGCCTTCAACAAGGACCCAAGGTCAGCTACCACATTAATGGTAAATTATTTAATTTGAAAAAGCTACAAGCCAAGACTAAAGTGGAAGGTGAGTTGATGCATGATTTTTGTTTGCAGATGATTTTGCATACAGTGCTCTGAAAGAAAGTAGAGAGAAGAGGTGTTAGACTGCTGACCATACTGCAGGTCTATAGACTGTTGTGCTGACCTCATTGTTGTATGCCTGTGAAACCTGGACAGTACACCATTGCCATGCCAGGACACTGAATTGCTTCCATTTGAATTGTTTTAGGAAGATTCTGAAGATCACTCAGCAGGAGAAGGTACCAGACACTGAGGTCCTTTCTCAAGCTGAACTGCCACGCATTCAAGCAGTATTGCAGGGAGTGCAACTCGAATGGGTTGGCCATGTTGTTTGAAAGCCAAAGGGATGTTTGCCTAAAAGACTTTTTTACCGAGAACTCATACAAAGCAAGCACTCATATGGAGGTCAGAGAAAGTGCTACAAGGACATTTTCAAGGTTTCTCTGAAGAACTCTGGAATCAATTGCATGACAGAGGAAACAATGACAAAGGACCGCCCTACATGGCGTGGGTGCATTGCACATCAGAAAAGGCACTCTGCTCTATGAGGAAAGCAGAATTCCAATAGCTCGAAAGAAACATGAGATGAGCAAATTTAGACAGCTCCACTCCGAATGTTCATGTGGACGCTGTGCCTGACGTATGGTGTAGCCTTCCAAGCTCATATTGGTCTGATCAGTCATTTGGACACACTGTGTACCTTGACTCTAACTTAGTGGTGTTATTTTGGTCTTCTTTGAGAACAAAGGGCAATAGCTAACCAACCAACTGACCAACAAATCTCCTATCCAAGCTCTGCAAGTTCCTGACTTGAGTTTAATTCTGAGTAACAATATATTGCTGCTCTGGTGGTTCAGAATAACAGAACTGAAAGATTCCCTTTGGTCTAGGAATACTGCCCTGGTTATCCTTTTGTAGGCTTCAGATTGGGCAAGAAGCTGGGACTAAGACCCTGTTCTGCCCCTGGGATCTGAGCTGCACCACTGCTGCTTGCTTCTTGCTTCAGGCTTTTAGGAGCAAGATTTCCTCAGTCTATTTTGGGTCTGTGACCAGGAACGTCATAGTGAGCAACAAAGCTACTTGCCACCTCTTCCTATTGAGGCGCCCAGTAGGGGCCTGGGACCTTTTCTTGCCCTGGTGCACAGCCTGTCCCAGTATTGGAATGCTTCCCACATACAACTTCTGGATAGCTACCTTCCTCAGTGTCTGTAGACTGTTTCCCTACCAGGGGTGGGCAACTTGTGACCTCGAGTATGGCTCTTTTCTGAATTCAAATTTCACAGAAGATATCCCCTTACTAAAAGGGCTGCACTTGAGGACCTTGAGGGTCACATGTGGCCTTGAGGCCGCAGGTTCCCCACTCTTGCACAAACCTGGACAGGAAACATGACTCATGGATTTCTCCATCAGAACTTGGTCTGATGCATTTTTTATATCTTTTTGAAGTTTTTTTTTTTTTTTTTTTTTTTTGGGAGGGGGGGTGGTGGTGGTGGTAGTTCACTGTACTGCTTCTTGTTACTCTACTATCTTGGCTCCATCTCCTTGGCAGTATTTTATTTAGGCACTACTACCTTTGTGATCCTGTGATTTTTTGGACTTAAACTCCTTTCTTTCTGCCTGCTGTATTTTTTTTTTTTTGATGTGGAAAGACTTTGGCCGATATTCCTGAGACTTTTCCTTTTGGGAATTCTTTAAGGAAGTGATAGGTATAGTCTTTCTATTTTTACTTTGGCTTTTGGTTATAATAGTGCTGGACAATTTTGTCATTTATGATGTCTTAAAATACAATGTCCAGGCTTTCATTTTAAAAAAAATTGTTTTAAGAAGTCTAGTGATTCTGAAATAATCTGATGAAATTTCCAGTTGAGTTGTTTTTCACACCAAATATATTTTCTATTTTTTTCAGTCTTTTAATTTTGTTCTATTTCTTATTCTCATGGAGTCATTGATTTTGCTTGGTCAATTCTAATTTTCAGGGAATCCATTACTTGGATAAGTTTCCTATTCTTTCTTCAAGATTTTATTTCATGTTTATGTCCTGCTTCATTTTTTCTAGGTATTCATGTAGTCATTTTTTTCCTGTGAGTCTCTGCTTTCAGTTGTTAGTAAGTAACTCTCTCCTTCTAGGTTGGATTTTTTGGTAACTTTAGGTATTTTGGCATTTATTATAATGCTTTGTAGTGATCTATATTTTCTTCAGTTCATTCATGTCTATAGCCTTAGTTATTGAACTGGAGCTTGTGCTAGGAACAGGCTTTGCTCTCTGCTATGCTTGAACTTAACCAAGGTCACTGGAGTTCCTACACCATCTCCCAGAGTCAGGCCCTTCTGGGTCTCTGAAATTTATAGTGGTGGTTTTTCAGGGCCATTTGTGATGGCTTAGAACTAAGTGCCAGGAAGCCTGGGGCCCAAAGTCTTGGGATGTCCCAGGTTGAATGCTGCCATGCATGGCGACACTCACTGTCCATTGTCTTTTCCCTCCTTCATTTTGTCCCAACACCCTCACCCCTCAAGGAAAACAAACAACTCCAAAAAAATCAACTTAAAAAAAGCTAATGCTTTGTTTAGGCTTCTACTAATGTTAATTTGTATTTCCTGTACCCAAATGCCAGATTTGGTAGAGTGAAGTAGTCAAAGAATGTGCTAAGAGGTATGGAGAAGTCAAGTCATGGAATAAATGTTTTTCCTTAGCTATACCACGAAGTATAAAATCTATATGTGGATGTTTAAAAAGTCAGCTCTCAATTAACAGAAATAATCAACTTTGCAAAATAATGTGTATTCATTAACATCAAATTTTATCTGGTGACATTTTAAAAAATATTGTTTCAGAAATCAAACTCTTCATTGGCAAGCTATTGGTAATCCTCGATGTCAAGGAACATGGAAAAAAGTTCGGCGAGTGGACCATTGCTCCTGTCCAGCTGTGCACAGTTTCATTTTTATTTAGAGCTTAAGCAATTTTTTAAAAAATTGTGAATATTTTTAATATCATAAAGAACATTTAACACATTTCACAATCTTAAAAAATTATCTGCTGTGTGTGCTAAACATTTAATTGTCATGTTTTGAAGAAAATAAAAGAATAAAGAAGGGAATTGTGGCATAGAATCCAGTCTCAAAATGGTGACTATCACACGTGACTGCTGTGGTTCGGTGGAGCTAAGGTCTGTCTATACTAGGTCACTTCTATGGGATCTCCTCGGTGGGAAGTCTATGAGACACACATGATGTACATTTATATTGCATTGAAGGTATTATCCCACATCCAACAAGGGTATTTACATTTCAAGTCATGTTAAATTTTTTTTTCCATGTCAAAAATCTCCTTTGAGCTTCCTAAATAGTTAGGAATGTTTCCTACTGAGTATTGGTCCTTATTCTCAAAAACTTTTCAGACAGGTTAAATTATTTAATCTTTCATAAGCACTTTATAACATTTATTGCTCTGTTAAAGTTTTTACTGGAGGAAGTAAATGGATACTAATGTTTTTGGTAGACAAGAACAATCCAACGTTAAATTGAGGGTCAAAAGAATTTACTTTTAATATTGAGTCATGAAGGAAACTTAGGAGTGGAGTAATTATGTTGGTTATAGAATTTCACTTCCATTAGCATCCAAGAAACATTTCAACTGTAAGAATTAAGTGCCTCAAAAAATATCTCAGAACTCCCATGGGGAGAGTTTTAAACCATGGGACATTGCTTAACGATGTGACTGCTTTATCTTTAAGAAATTGAAAAAGATCCTGTTTAAAAGTTGAAATAAAAATACTACTTTTGTTTCTTATGCATTGTTTTCTTTGGGATAAGAAGGGAGAAAGAGGGGTTGCAGAGGGCTGACAGCCCATTCACTATTATTATTATGATTATGATGATGACCTCAAAACAAAGTGGTAAAATATTACTGTCTCTCTTACTCAGGTCAGTTAAAAATGTATTAGGCACCTACTGTTCGCCAGCCTATTTGTTGGGTGACTGGGGCTAAAAAGAAAAATACCTTAAAGGAGAACCTACAATATGTATACAAGGAAGTAAATACAGCCTGGAAAATTGAGCACAAAGAGGTTAAATGACATAAAGCCAGTAAGGTGGCAGGATATTAAAGTTTTGGACTCTGCCAGTGACTTGCCCTGATGGAGATTCTTATCCTTAAGTCTCTGCACTTCATGTTTTAGTAACTGTATTCCAGTATAATTGGTTTCCTTTGCAATCCTATGCATTTTATTTTGTGCATTTAGAAATGTAGTTCTGAAAAAGGGTCCATAGACTTCACCAAACAACCACAAAGAGTCTATGACCAAAAAAAAAAAAAAAAAAACAAAACCAAAAAACAAACAAACAAAAAAAAAGGTTAAAACTCTTATTCTCCAAGATCCAGTTTGTTCAGGTGCAAAATATCTCTAGAAAGAGTATTACATAAGAATGACTATTTGAGGGAGAATGGAGCCTTATAATACAGCTAAGTGGCATATTCCAGAGTACTAGATGTGGAGTTAAAACCTAAGTTCAAATCTAGCCTCAGACCCTTACTAGCTATGTGTCTCTGGCAAGTCATTTTAACCCATTTGCCTCAATTTCTTCAACTGTAAAATGGGAATAACAAAAGCACCTACCTTGAAGGATAGAAAGGAAAGAGAACACAGCAAAGAAATACTTTAGAAAAGGTGAAGGAAATGTCCATCTGTTAGGGAATGGCTAAACAAATTGTGGTACATGAACATAATGGAATATTATTTTGTAACAAACATCCAGTATGATGAATACAAAAAATAGAAATATTTACAAAAACGGATGAGTGAAGTGAGCTGCATACAATCTACACTGACTACAACAATGTAAATGGAAAAAAACCCACAAAATTATTTAGAGTGAATTTTGCAAAATTAAAAGAAAAAGCATAGCCCTCAAGAGGAAGTATAAGAAGACACTCACCCTCCCTCTTTTGCAGACGTGTAAAGTCCTTGGGTATGGAACACTGCATAATTTTCTTTTTCTCTTCTCATTTTTTTTTTCTTTTAAAAATACTCTGTTATATGAGATGGCTGGATGGTGGGGAAGAGAAGAATCTTGGGAAAAATTTAGGCAATGTAAAAATAAAAGATATCAATAGACTTTTTTTTTAAAAAGGCACAGAAAAAGAAAAAAAAGACTAAAAAGGTGGAGAAGACGAGAGAAGTTTTGACTTAATCACTTAACTGAAGAGGATAAAAGAAGGGAAAAAAGGGAAACAATTATGTAACAAAAAGGGGGGAATAACAAGTAAAACTAGGAAAACGGTTGATAAATAGGAGGGAGCGGGTTTGAGGATGAGAACAAGAGAACCTCTAAGAAGCGAGCTGCCAAGATTAAGCAAAAATAAGTCATGGAGACAAGAAGAAGAAAAAAACATCTTGATTTGAAAAAAATACTAGAAACAAATGTAGGAAAATATAAACCTATCACATAATTTGAAATACAAGTGGATTAATGCAATAAAATGAGAGCAGGTGACAGAATAGAGCCAAGACAAAACTTTACAATCTATTACAATCTACACCCAAAAAACAAAAACATATATTGACTAAAAATGAGAGACTATTACAAAATTTACTATGTACTGGGTGAATTAAAAAAAAAAGGAGAAGTTGCAATCATGCTAAAAATGGCAATATAAAGGAAAGGTAATAAGCACTGATTAAGAGCATTTTATGTGCCTGGGGCCAGGACTATGGGAAATGCTTACCAATCATTTCATTTGATCACATCAACTCTGTGAGGTAGATGCTATTTTACAGTTGAGGAAACTGAAAAAGGCAGAGGTTAAGTGATCTGCCCATTATCACACAACTAATGAGTGTTCCAGGTTGGATTTGAACTCAGGTCTCAGGCCAGGTTTTTCTGACTCCAGGCCCAGTGCTCTCTCCACTGTGCCATACAGCTACCAATATAAACAGAAATAAAGAAAAAAATTACATTATGCTGAGTGGATATCTCAAAACTGATGTTCTGTGTTGTCCTTGTTTAGTTGTTTTCAGTCATGTCCGACTTTTTGTGACCCTATTTGGTTTTCTTAACAAAGATAGTAGAATAGTTTGCCATTTCCTTCTCCAGTATGTACCCATTTCACAGATGAGGAACTGAGGCAAACAAGGATTAAATGACTTACCCAGGGTCACACAGCTAGTAAATGTCTGATGTCACATTTGAACTCAGATCTTCCTGACTCCAGGTCTTGTGCTTTATTTATTGGGCCACCTACCTGACCAAGTAATTTTATTTTTTCAACTGCACATCATCCCCCTAGCATCCTGAGATAACTGAAATGACCCTTCATCAACTATAGGATTATAGGAACATAATAAAATGGTACTACTTCCCTGACCTAAGGCTACCAACTCCTATCTTATCTTCTACTTTTTAAAAAATTCAATTTTATTTGCAGTTCCAAATTTTCTCTTTCTTCCCACCCCCACCTATTGACAAGCAAAAAAAAAAGCCCATTACAAATATGTGGTTAGAGAAAACAAATTCCCACATTACTCATGTCCAAAAAACAAAAAGCAAGCAAGAAAAAGAAAATATATTTCGATCTGCACTCATCACTTCTGTCTGGAGGTAGATAGCATGTTTCATCATGAATTCTTTGAAACTGGGATTGGTCATTGTGTTGATCAGAGTTCCATCTGATCATTGCCAGTCGTCTTGACCTATGTCTTGCCACTGGACTCCGATGACTCTGGAGGAGAGAGTGAGGCCGATGACTGCACAGCTCTGTCTCACTTAAATTCAATTCAGTTGCAAGTCAAGACATCACCTTCCTCATGTCATTGGTTCTCTTAGAAAACAAAGGATGAACAACAAACAAATCAGAGTTCCTAAGTCTTTCAGAGATGAGATGACTGTTTTTCCAATATTTTTATTGTATAAATTGTTCTGGTTTTGTTCATTTCACTTTGCATCATTTCATACAAATCCTCTCAGGTTTTTCTGAAACCATCCCCTTCATCATTTCTTATAGCACCACAGTATTCCATCACATTCATATATACCATAACTTGTTCAGTCATTTCCCAAATAATGAACATCCCTTCAGTTTCCAATTCTTTGCCACCACAAAGGAGCTGTTATAAATATTTCTGTACATATAGGTGGGTCCTTTTCACTCTTTCTTTGGTTTCTTTGGGGTAGACCTACTAGTGGGATTGTTGGGTTGAAGGATATGTAATTTATTAGCTTATTGGATACAGTTCAAAATGGCTAGGAAATTACAGGAGGGGGAAAAAAACAGTCCCTGCCTTTAATAAGATTAAGGACAATTTGGGGAGTGGGGGAGATGGGACATGTACACAAATGAATATGATGCAAGGTAGACTTAAAGTGTTTCAAGAAAATGGAGAGCACTTATTTTCTTGAGGGGAGTTGAAATGAGGGAAGTTTTCTTTTAAAAGGTTACATCTGAGCTATATCTTGAAGGAGGATATGGATTTCCAGGGGAATGGTATACTAAAAACATGGAGGTTAAGATATTACAGAACAATTACTAGCTGAGTTTATCTAGAAGAAAATCCCTGAAGGGATGAAATAAGGGTGAAAACATTAGATGGTGGAGACTGTAGAGGTCCTTAATGCTAGTTTGTAGAATATGTTTTATGTCATAGGGAAAATGGGGCAACTGAAGGATTTGAGTAGGGAAGTAACATGGTCTGACTTGTGTTGCTAACTATGCATTGGTAGAGGTAGCTAGGTGGCACAGTTGATAGCATGCTGGTCTTAAAAGTCAAGAAGACCCCAGTTTAAATCTAACCTCAAATACATTTAGCAGGCTGGGTAAGTCACTTAACCTCACAGGATTGTTGTGAGGATTAAATGGCAAAAATAAAGTGCTTTATAGATTTTGAAGCACTACGTGTGTTAGCTATTGTTACTGTTAATGTTATTGGTACTACTGTAAGGATGGATTGGACAGGGGAGAGAATGGAAGAAATGGGATTGTCGTCATAATACTGGCAGTGATAAAAGAAATACGAAAGGAGATAGGAGTTATTTTCTAGGTAGAATAAATAGGATTTGGCTGCTGATTGGATTGGGGTGAGAGATGAAAGAGTCAGGTAATATTGAGGTTGCAAGCTTAGATGAGGGATATATGGTGGTGCCCTCATCTTAGAAATAGTGGATGGGGTAAGGGCACGTTTTGTGGGGGAAGAACAGATTATTTTGTACCTTTTGATTTTTAAGATGGCAAAGGGACATCCATATAGAGACTCCCCTGTGGGCAGACATATGGCTCTTTCCTCAGATAGAGCCCCTCTACTTCCTTATAAAGCTTATCCATTCACATAGCTGTAATTGTCACCGCTAAGGAAATGATTACAAATTTACCTATTTAGTCTCAAACTATTTCCCGAATTCTTTTGCTTTTACATACCCACACATGTTATTTATATGAAGATGTACTGTTAGTACTTTAAACTTCACATGCCACAAACTTTCTCCAAAAACCGCTGACTACACTTTTGATACAACTTCCTAACTTGGGTATGTTCCATTTTCGGCTTCTTTTTGTATATTGTCTTCCACCATTAAAATGTAAGCTTCTTGACGATGTTTTCATTTGAATTTATTATTAACAAATATGCTTAGCACAGTGCTGGACATATAGCAAGCACTTAATAAATGCTTGTTGCTTTATGCATAGAAAAATATTATTCTGATAAGCCAAAAGGCTTCAAACTGCCCAAGGGGCCCAAGATACAAAAAAGGTTAAGAGCTCTTGTGCTGTACTATAATTTAAGTTGACTGAAGCAAAGGGAGTGAAGAAGTTTAGCCAGTTATCAATCAGGCAATAGAGTTTGGGTAGCTATATAAATTTATGCATATTCAAATATTTGGCAACAATATGAGGATTTGAGTTTTTTTATTTAGTAATACACAATTTCAACAGCAAAAGGGTAGACTGAGTCTTTAAATAGAAAATGGAAAAGACAAAGACACAACTATTCTTATGCTTTCTTATATTCAGTCTACAAACTCCAATTTCTAATACTTGCAAGGCAATTCTAGAGTTATCATAAATAAATCTGCCATGTTACTTTCTTCCTGGTTTGATAATTTAACAAAGAAAAACATTCCTGCTAGTCCAACTAACGGGATGCATTCATGCATACAATTAAGTAATTCTATATGTTCCTCGACCAAGACATTAAGAACAAAATGCCTGAGATGAACAAAACAAACAGTGATGATTCCAAGAGCTATTCTAATCAATTTTTACCTAAGTGATATTAAAATTGCTAATTTGATCTATCAGAGTTCAAGTGTTTCTAGTACAATTAATACATTTTGTTGGTACTATGTTAAATAAAATCACAGAACTAGATATTTATGATGTATGTTTTCATATATACTACAAAAGTCAAGCTTAACATTTAACTTAAAAGTCTATCAGAACAAACTCAAAACAATCTGTCATGTAAGAAAATTTATTAGCCAATATTATGTTATTTCAGGTATGAAATAACAACCTCTCTCCTATTATGAAAACATACAATGCACAGAAATAACACTGTAGATTTATGATTTTATCAATGAGGCTTTGAAAGTAAGTGACACACTGACGCCATAAAGTCAAGCAACTGTATCTTAGCAGAACATTACTGTTCGACTCAAAACATTCAAATTTTGTTTGGCAGATTTTTTTTCCAGACTATTCTATATCAAACTGAGCAGAATGATAATAAGTATGTGGCATGGTTCAAAAAAGACAAAGTACTAAGAAGCCTGTCCAATGACTTCGTTACACAGAAAAATATACTATCACACCAAAACATTTAAAAATTTCAAAATACATTAACTGCCAATATTTTAAACCAACCAATTGATCCAGATGTTTTTCCTCATTTAACCCACCTTTTACAAACACATTCAGTCAGTCTTCACTGTCTGAAGAAACTAATTCTAACTTCTTCAAAGTCCGCCACCTGTCCTTTAACATAACATTTGTTCGATTGCAGAATGCGTAACTTGAGAGAATTTTCTGCCAACGTCCCTCTCCATATTTTCTCACCCCTAATTTCAGTTTCCTGTCTTCATCCGAACTCCACGTCTTTAGACAAAAATAAGAGAAAGTAAGTTTACCCTATTGTTCTTGATCCTTTGCCATGTATATTTCTAGATTCTATGTTGTACTACTGTCCAATTTCAACTATTTTGGTGATTTAAAATAAAATTTATTGATTAAATGTATGGAAACTATAATTCTTCCAGCACAGAGTACTGGTGGAAGAATTATGACTATTATTGTAATCAACAAAGATCATGGCAGTAGTATATTGAAAAGATTCAGAGATCTGTATTTAATATTCTTTAAAAACAAAACCCCCAAAACTATGGCTACAGACCCTCCAAAACTAAGGGTTAAACTCATTTCAATATTCATTACTTATTTCCAGTAGTGGCACATTCTCTACTACTGTTAATCAAGTAGTTCCTCCTCCTCTCCCTCCCTTCCCCACCCACATGTGATAAAATTCTCATAGTAAAGAAAAACTAGGAATCTATATTATTATCAATAGAAAACATTAAAAAAGTATTACCAAAAGCAATTCATTAAATATTGGTATACTGTATTTTTTTAAAAAGATAAACTATTTTCCACAGAAGGATATAATTAACTTATGATTAGTTACTAAAATATTCATCCCTAAGGTGACTAATATACACAATTCATCTAGGAGGCTATTTCTTTGATAGGAAGAGAAATGGTGTAATATTTTTGACTTACTTTCATAGTTATTAAGTCCAGATTTATGACAATCCCTTCACATATATTTTGACCTGGGAGCACCAAACATATTTACATAAAACATGTGGCCAGTGCTATAATATAGCCTATGAGTATGGGCAGGGAAAAAAGCTAACTGGCTAACATGGAGACTAAACTATTATCTTATTAGAATGGTGCTCTAATCAAATGAGCCAGTAAGCAACAGACGAGTATTTACTTTAAAGCCCTTTACTGTTTTAGATGAAGCCAATAAGCAAGGAGAGAATTTTTATAGCTTCTGAAAGAGGGGAGGCATAGAAAAAAATATGACATTTTAAAGGTATCCAGGAGAATATTAATAATTATGGAATTATTTACCCACTTTCCTACCTCAAAATTTTTATTAGAATAATCTACATATAAATCAATGGCATTCATGAAGAAGGCATGAAAAGGAAGCAAGCCTGTTTTTGTAAATGATTCTGTACATCAGACTTTTATAAAGAGGAAATGGGGGCAGCTAGGTGGTACAGTGAATAGCGCACCAGAGTTCAAATCTGGCCTCAGACACATAACACTTACTAGCTGTGTGACTCTGGGCAAGTCACTTAACCCCAATTACCTCACATTAAAAACAAAACAAAACAAAAAGCAAAACAAAAAAAAAACATACAAGTGAGATTTTGGGGCAGCTAGGTGGCACAGTGAATAGAGCACCAGCCCCGGAGTCAGGAGGACCTGAGTTCAAATGCGACCTCAGACACTTGACCCTTAGTAGCTGTATGATTCAGGGCAACTCACTTAACCCTGATTGCCTCATGAAAAAAAAAAGTGTATATACAAGTCACTTAAGCCCAATTGCCTCATTAAAAAAAAAGCATAAATATATATATATAGATAGAGAGATAGATATCTCTCTATCTATATATATATATAGATACAGATATATATAAATAGAAATTAACGGAAGGTGTAAAGAACACAATATCCTAATACACTTATTGTTGGCTATAAAAAAGCATTTGATTCAATAGAGTAAAATGTTGCCTTAAACTGTCTCACACTCACACACACAATTCCTTAAAAGATGTAACAGACCTAACTGCTTGCTTGATGACCCTCTGAGATGAAGGAAGGCATAAAACAAGGAGACCTATAGCTGAGAAAGGTGTTTGCCACCATCCTGGAAAAACTACAGCATCACATCATAACATCAAAATCAAAGAAATAACCCCTAGAGATGGCTATATCCTCCAGAAGCTCCTATTTGTGGATGACATTGTACAGGTTGTACCAATCCCTGGAATATAACAAAGCCTCATAAAGAGATCAATAATCACTCACGAACTATGGCCATCTAACTACACTGAAAAAAAAAAAAAAACAAGTGGAGAAGAGTTTCTGTTGTTCAAACTGCAATAAATGAACAAACTACCCATAGAATTTGTCCATTAGGGTGTATCTTAAACAATGAACAGAATCCCACAACTAAACAAAAGAGAGAAAAGCAGACTAAATTAAATATCTTAACTAAACAAGAGCCCATTTTTAAAACAAGTAATCTGTTGATGTTGTATGGTGGTGAGTCATAGGCTGCACTTAGCAATCAAGTAGTTACAAGAACAGCAGTATTCAAAGGATGTCATCAGAAAGATATATAAGCAAAAAAGATGTACTGATCATTTGATAAATGCAAGGGTAACTGAGAGATAGCCTGGGTATTCTATGTGATGTCTAGAGAATTAGGAAAAATATCAGTGGCATGACAAATGGGCCCACTGTGATGGATATAGGGGAACATAAACAAATGCCATATAGGATGAGAAGGCATAAAAATGTCATGAACTTCATTATGAGAATGTACCTACCTTGATAAAACCATAGATTTTCTGAAGAAAATTAGATCTTTTGTTTTTGGGAAATATAGTAGTAACACACGGACTTTACCAAAAATTAAAATTTTATTCTGAAAATCAATAAAAGCAAAACTTTTATAAGAAAAAACATTTAATAAGTAGTAGATAAATTTGATGAATTCTACAGACTATCAACTAATACACTCCTGTTATGGCAAAAACTACTGGAAGTGCATCACTGAGTAATTATTTTATTTCTGACCTTTGGGATTATTTTAATATTGCTACCATATGAGATTCTAACTGGTACATGATGACAACTAGATTCCTCTTAAGTCTTCTCTTTACACTAAGAAGACCCAGTTTCTCCAATTATTTTTCATAATTTTTTTGAACATTTAAAATGTTGCTTTCGAGTACAGATTCTTAAACTTTCTTTGTGTGTAATGGAAATCTTTTGATAGTCTGGTCAATCCTATTGAAGCCTCCAAAAATGTTAAATGTATTAAAAAATCACAAAGGGAACCAATTAGATCGAAGAATGTAATTGTCCCCCCTTCAAATTCATGGACTCGCTGAAAGCTATCCATAGATCCTATTGGCTCTGAAAGCCCTTTCCCCACACCACCAGAGGTACAGCAAGAAAAGATATCTTTGAAAGCAAAGTTGGAACTCCGGATAAAAATGAGTAGTACAACATGTAAAGATGTGTAGATTATATTTCTTTTTTGCCTTGTTCTGTGGCTTATGTAGTTATTTTATTTTATATTTTCCTCCAGAATTTTTTTTTAACATTTTTATTTAAAGTTTTGGGTTCTAAATTCTATTCTATCTCTCCCTCCCTGAGATGGTAAGCAATCAGATATGTTATACATGTGCAAATATGTAAAACATTTCCATATTAGTCATTTTGTACAAGAAGACTAGAATAAAAGAAAAAATGAAAGAAAGTGAAAAATAGCATACTTCAGAATGTATTCAATCAATATCAATTCTTTCTCTGGTGGCACATAGTAGGCTTCACCATTAGTCCTTTGGGATTGTCTTAGATTATTTTATTGCTGAGAATAGCTAAGTCATTCACAGTTCTTCATCAAACAATATTGCTGTTACTATGTATAAAGTTCTCCTGGTTCTGTTTACTTCGCTACGTGTCAGTTCATGTAAGTCTTTCCAGGTTTTTCTGAAATCATTGTGCCTGTCGTTCTTACAGCAGAATAATGTTGCATCACAAGTATATACCACAGCTTGTTTAGTCATTCCCCTTGATGGGCATCCCTTTGATTTCCAATTCTTAATGTATTTCAAGAAAGAAAATGTGTCCCAAATAACTGGCTTAAAATAGATAAAACTCACTAGTAACTTGGGGACTGTGAGTAATCTCTTCAAATATTTTCATTTATTTTTAGATTTCTATTATTTCTATTACTGCATTAAAATAATTTTCAACTCAATTTTGAAGATTAAAAAAACAAATGTTTTCACATTCTAAACAAATTAGAAATCCTCATTCCCAAAAACCAGTTTAACTTTAATGGCACTGACTTGCCCAAACTTTATAGCATAATGACTATTAAGAGTGTAACAGAAGTTTTAAAAAGCATTACATAACTAAATATTACTAGAATAGAGAGAAGTGTTATATTACAATAGGTCACGCTTTGCATAATTTTTCCAGTGTTTAAATATTTTGACAGTAAAAGAGACTATTATAGATTTCTAATATCAAAATGGATCAGAAATTTTTGTATTTTATTCATAACATTACTTTCAGCATTAGAAAATTATATGCTGGTAATTACTAGAAATGCTCTAATTATGTATAGAAATATTTTTTAAAATTACATTTATAATAACCTATATAAGACTTGTGATTATTTGGAGACAGCAAGTCTTGACTTCTACCAAGCAAGAAAAGTTTTGAGCACAAGTCTGTCTACTGACAGTTATCATGACCAACTATGGGAAGGTTCTCTGCAGAAGGATGTTCATGGGATAATGAATTCTTTAGACATGTTGAACCATGGGGGAAAAACAAACTGCTTCTCAATCCAGTGTATTGAGCTTCATCAGTGAGGATAATGGAAAGGAGGAAGCTAGTGCTAAGAATCACACAGTATTCAAATTGGCTAAGGACATTAGTTTAACTGCTGATACTCAACAAAGTGGATACACTGAGAACTAAATTGCAGCTATATTTACCATTCTTGCTACAAATGAAATCAGAAGATATATATTAATAGAGGAACAGGTCAGAAAATTTCCTCAGGTGAATGAAATAGTTAAGTTGATAAAGAAACATTTTGCAGACAAGCTGGTGATCTTACCTTGATGATCTGATGCATGACCATAAGCAAAAAGGTAACGATAAAGACAGTTGTAATTTTATGCCAACACATTATGGATGAGGTAGAGAGATTATATGAAGTCCTTGTCATTTACTGATTTTAATACAAAGGTAGACTCAAGGGAGAATAGTGAACAATATTAAAATTAAAAGGTATGTGATATGTGAGATATGTGAGCAAGTTATTCAGAACTGTCACATCCATAAACTATGACTACTTAAGAGAAAAGAGTCAGCATTTGTCTAGCTTTCCATAAGTGTATTAGCAGGATGAAAAGGAAAACTCTATACAGGAACTGTACATACAAAAGCTCTGCCTTAATATATCAGTTGGGAAAAATAGGGACAGACTGACTCACAAAACCAAGTATTGGGGCAGGTCACAGGCCAAACATTATTGCTCTCTGAAGCTCTCTAAAATATATTGTCAAGGCCCTGGCACCAGGTGAAATAAGATCATAGTTCACTATATAATCCATGAAGACAAAACCCAAAGATTCCAGAGAAAGGACTGAAATTAGGACAATATGACTTAAGAAAAAGCAACTTCTCAGACAATAGATGATAACCTAAACATTGGCATCTATAGTTTGGATTTCTATGTGGTACTAAAAAGTACAAGACAGGATGCATTGAGGTCAAACAGTTTCAGCAAAGAGGAAGCTAATCACTAATTTTGATAGAAGTACGATAACATTATTCTTGGCAAATACCCAGTTTTCTATTAAATGGCCAATAAAAATGATCTTAAGTGATTTTTTGAAAGTCAGAAGGTTCTGGACATGGAAAACACTGAATACAAAAACATAATTGCCAACGTCTTAGTAGAGTGAAAAAACATATTATTGGTTATTTCTTAATAAATTCTATGTGTACAGTCAGGTCAATTAATTATAGAAAAGTTCAAAATTGACATCAAATTAGAAGACTAAAATGAAAAGACTACACTCTGTGCAACCATAACAGCTTCAACCTAAAAAATGACAATAAGCTGTTGACTAAGAACAATCAGAAACGGATGAAAGATTAAAACTGTAACCTGAGATATTTAATTGATATAAAACTACTCACGCAAAGATGAGGCTGACAGAATAGATGCTATTTTGGTCAGTAAATACAAAGTTCTTGCTGATTTGAGAGAAAAGGCAGCTAAAGGAAACTTCCTTTTAGAGTATAAATCTTGTTAGTCAAAACATTAAGGAAATGGAGGCTGGAAAATTATGAGTACTACTGTCATTTTGAATATGAAGTCCTATTTTCCTAGGGAAAATGGGATGTGAACTACATATGGTTAACAAACTTGTCCTCCAGAACTAATAGACGGAATTATGAATTAAAGAGAGTATTTAAATAAATCCAGGTTTCCTCAACAATACCCCCCAAAACAGAATGCCATGACTGAAGGAAAAATGGGAAAGCAGTAACTTTCAAGATATTCAATAAGTTAGGATTCCATCTTTTGATGCATATTAATAAGTCACCACCTTTCCAAAAGGCAACTTAAGAAGACATCTATCATGAAAATCAAGAGTTAGGCAGGTTGTGCTTTTTTTCTTGGCTGATTACTCCTACAAAAAAATGCAGAACAAAACTGAGGCCTTAAAATGCACCACAAAGATAATTTTGTTCAACAATATTTGGATCAAAAGCAAACAAAATGTAGAAAAGGTAAACACATGTTCACCAATGGTATTTACCACTATCATGGAAGAGAGATGGCAGAAAGTTCAAATGGAATACATATGGTAAAATTCTCTGGATGTTTCTTTTTCTTCAAAATATTTTGTAAACCAAGCATTAGAAAACTACAGAACCTCTTCAATGAGATCCACAGCTACCTGCAATTTGTATAGTAATAAGCTTTTTTTAGCCATTCAGTCTTTTGCTTATCTCTCAAATTATGGCATGCAGCTTAATAAGTATTTCCTCATTTCCCATGACTGAACAAGTTACTTTGGGACTTCTCCACTCTGCCCTGGTGACAAGAGGCGCCTCACTGCCTCCTGCTTTTTAGCTTCCTTTTGTGTGTTGTCTTCCCCTGTGAGACTATAGGCTCCTTGACAGTAGGGGGTGCCTTTTCCCAATTTGTATCATTGTACCATCATTTGTACCAGCAAAGTGCCCAGCACACAGTAGGTGCTTAACAAATGCTTATAGATTATTATTGGATTACATATTATTATGGATTATAGTTGAAACTGTTAAGTTAGGCTATTAATATTTCATATCTTGGATACTTGCCACAGATAGACAATGTATTGGGCTTAGAACTGAATAGGAGTAAGGCAGCAGGTTGGACATTTTGGAAATAGTTCAACATTTTCAAGAACTCAACTTGCTTCTTGCCGCTAGAAGTTCACCTTTTTAAAAAGTGATGCTATATGGTTCTGACAGAACAGATTGATCACAGAACAAAAAAAGGCTGGTGACACAAAAAGTTGCATGGTAGATATAAACAGACTAAAGTACATTATTGTGTCCTATCTTGTGTTCTCAAAGTAGCTTAAAAGGCATATCAAAGATATTTATGATCAGAAGAGGCAAGCTGTTCAAATAGTCAGCACAAAGGTTAAGATGGGCATTCCAATTATTACAATGGTATTTTTCTATAAAATATGAAAAGATCCTTAAAGGAAGGCTAGTAGTACATTTGGTAGATCTGCGGAGGGTTATTATAGATAATGACAATAATAATGATGATGATGATGACGGTAGATAATAATCACACAAGAAGGTACAGATAAATTGCTATTGCCTCCACCCTATTTCTTTTTATGTGTTATCTTCTCCCTTTAGATTGTGAGTTCTTTAAGGGCCCGAGTCATCTTTTGTCTTTCTTTATATTCCCAGTACTTAGCACAGTGGCTGGCACATAGTAGTTGCTTAAAAATGTTTAACTGACTGATATTATTGATGCTAACTTAGAGATTTATTAAGCCAAACTGGTTTCTTTCTCTGTGTGCAGGCATGTGAAGATTTAATTTTAAAGGTATAAGTTTCCAAAGTAGGACTCCATGAAAACGTTTGGTTCATCATAGAAATTTGAATAAATAAAAACTTGTTTCCTCTTATTGCCTTTGGAATCACCAAATACAACAAATTAGGAGGCTAAGGTTGAGTGCTGTACTTGGAGTCAAGAAGACCTGAATTCAACTTCAGCCTTAGTCTCAGTTTACTAGCTATGTGACCCTGGGCAAGTAACTTAACCTTTGTCCATCTCAGTTTCCCATCTGCAAAATGGGGATAATAATAGTACCTCCCTTCCCAAGGTTGTTGTGAGGATAAAGTTCTCATGTTTGTAAAGCACTGTGCAAACTAAAAAGTGCTACATAAATTGCTAGCCATTATTTGAAGCAGCTGGTGGTACAATTGGAAAGAGTACTGGACCTGGAGTAAGTAGGAATAGTTGTTTAATTGTGTCTGACTTTCCGTGACCCTCTTCGGGGTTTTCTTGGCAAAGATACTGGAATGAATTGCCATTTCCATCTCCAGCTCATTTTATGAGGATGAGGAAACTGAGGCAAAGAGTGTTAAGTGACTTGCCCAGTGTCACACAGCTAGTAAGTAAGTATCTGAGACTAAATTTGAATTCAGGCAGATGAGTCCTCCTGACTCCAGGCCCGGCACTCTATCCACTGCACCACCTACCTGCACACTGCCAAGATTATCAGTCAGGAGACTTGAATTGAAATACAGTTTCAGATACTTACTAGCTGTTTGACCTTGGGGGCAAGTCACTTAACCTCTGTCTGCCTAAGTTTCCTCAAGTGTAAAATAAGGATAATGATAGCATCTATCGCATCCTAGGAGTGCTGCAAGAATGAAATGAGATATTATTTCACATTGTAGGTGCTATATAAATGCTTATTCCCTTTCATTCATCTCACTAACTATAGCATGGAAGTCTTGTGCACCACCTTTAGCCCCTAGATTAATTTCATGATGATCAACATAGAGATGCAATGCTAAAGCTTGAGCTATTATAATAATGCTAAACTGTTATTTCAAATATGATTTTAGTATTTCAAATAGGACTCAGTTTATCAAGTGCAATATATGCTTTTGCAGATGTACTTACCCAGTCCTAATCTCTTTCTAAATCTTCAGAATGGCATTTCCAACTGATGACTGGGACATCTCGAAGTGGATGTCACAAGGACATCTTAAACCCAAAATGTCCCAAACTGAATTCATCCCCTGCCTCCTTCCCTCCCCCCTCTCCCCAGCTTTCCTCTCTTCATGACTTTCCCTATTACTATCAAGGGTAGGCTTATAATCTAGATGTCATCTTACCCAATCTGTTGCCAAGGCCTGTCAGTTAGTTTAACCTTTGTACCACCATCTCTTATATATACTTTCTTCTCCCCACTGACCCTGCCACCATCCTGATAACAGGCCCTCTTCAACTCACATCTGGATTATAGCAATAACCTGCTACTCGGTCTGCCTCAAGTCTCTCCCCACTCTAGTCCATGCTTAATCTTCCAAATATCATGTCATCCAACCCCTCCTCCCCCATTCTGTAAATTCCAGTGGCTCCCTATCATCTTCAGGATCAAAAACTGCTGACTGTTCAAAGCCCTGCCCAACCCCGGCCCCTCCTATTTTTCCAAGTCTTCTACTTCACTTACCTCCAAGAACTTTGGATCTAATGATGTTCAATGGTCCCCTCCTTGCTGTTCCTCACACGTTTCTCCCAACTTCATTCATTTTCACTGGCTGTCCTCCATTTCTGTCTCCTGCCCTCCCTGACTTTTTTAAAGTCCCAGTTAAAATCCCACCTTCTGTAGGAGCCGTTCCCAATCCTTCCCTTAATGCTAGTGCCTTCCTCTACAGATCAAGTTTGTATCTAGATGTTTTCATGTTGTTTCCCCCATGAGACTGTGAGCTCCCTGAAAGCAGGGACCATCTTGTGTCTTTCTTTGTATATTCCAAAGCTTAGCATAGTGCCTGGCATGTTGTAGGCACTTAATGATTTCTGACTGCTTTAAAAAGTACTTTATGACTTTTTTTATTTTTGAGGGCCATACACTGAGATGTGTATATTTGAGAGCATTTTTTTTATCTTATCTATTTACATTGTCCATAAATATTTTTTATTTAATTTGAATTAAGAAACACCTACCCTCCTTTTCCATCGTCTAGGTCTTTCAGAAGTGTTTGTTTCACTGTTTGCCTTGTTTTTGTTACTGTCTTTAGTGGTTATTATATGGTTTTTAGTGCTTTTGCTACTGTTTTTAAGACTTTGCGTGATCCTTTTACCTAAAAGAAGAAATATTCTTATTAAACAAAACTGGATATTTAATTATTAAAGACAAATTCCCAGATTTATATTTTTCCTCACTATTGTGCAAAAGCACAAAATTTACTTATTTATTATTTTCCTAATTATTCAATTATTTTAAGAATGCCTAAAGAAAGTAGAAATATGTAAGCTTTAAAAAGAGATAGGGAATTTCAAAGTTTCACAAACACATAAATTACATTGTCCCAGCCAACTCCCTCCTCCCCATCCTGGGGGAGTAATCAATTATCTTTAGGAAATTATTGTTGCATTTTTATAATGGACATAATATTTGAACAAAGGACAGTAAGATCTATCAGTGTAGACATTTCCTTCACCAATACTGAGACCTCAATTCTCCTCTACATCTTAGCTGTGGCCCCCCCCCCAAATTCTAATTTATTGATATTTTAGGCCAAAAAAATTATAACTTATTGATATTTTAGGCTTCAATTTATTGATATACTTAGGCCTTTCCTTAGGACTTCATCGATATATTTTTTAATCAAAGTATTGCACTTAGAAAGACTTACTATAACTTGTGCTCTACTGATAATGCTTTGAAGAACCCAAGGTCATTTTCATACCAAAATAAAAACACTCACATAAGACATTAGTAGAGGTATGGGAAAAATTTAAAAAGCACTCTGCAAAAACAATAATGAGTTTAATAATCTTCTATAGATTTAAAGTGAATAAAAATTATTTCAATGATAAAGGATGGAAAAAAATGGAAGCACCATGTCAGAGTAGAGAAAAAGCACTGTACTAGGTGGCAGGAAACCTGGGTTTTAAATTGAGGTTCTGCTGACCTGAGTCACATTTTCCTTTTCTGTAAAATACAGGAGCTGGAATAAGATGATCTCCAAGGTCTCTCCTAGTTCTGAAATTCTATGATTACATTAGAAAACAATACTCACTTCCTTGACTCCTTATTTTTATTCTTGTTTCATCAGAATCTTGCTGTGTGTTCTCAAGTTTATTTTGTGACAAAGATAAGAGAGTTTGATGAGACCTAAATAAGATAAAATGTTGAATCTTATAGAAGGTTCCTGCATAAGGTGTAGGTAAAATTATGGAGTCAGTGGCTTTATCAAATCTTTTTTACTTGATACTCTCCCTCTACTTCAAGGTACTGACTCAAGTGTTCATTACCTCGGAACTGTTGATCCTTGGTATCTAGCCAATACCAGGGACACTGCTGCTGTCATGTCCCCTTCCCTCCAGTTCTCTTTCTCACCAACCCCTCCTAGCTAGGTTCTTTGTGGCTTCCAAGACCTTTATGTTTTCTAGTAACTGCAACAAACTTATCTGTGATAATTCAAATGTTTAAATTAATAGCTAATTCAAGAAATCTATAATACATACTTACTCACAGTAATATTCAGGTAGTCTTCTTCTGTTGACAAGTATTTCCTGGGCTCAAAGATTATTTCTATTAGTTTGCTTCCTGATGTTCTCCAAATAAGCCACTGGCCTCACTCTGGACTACTGCCACAACTTCCTCCTCCCCCACTCCACTACAGGACCCTTTACTGCTTGGCTCCCTTGGGCCAGCCTCAATACAACCCCCCTCTGGAAGCTCTTGAAACATCGGCAGGAGTGGAAAACTTACTGAGAAAATAGGGGAAGAATTAAAGTATCACATCAAAGCAAAGTATGAAATTGCTATACAGTAATGTGACTGATTCTGAGGTGTGGGTGGTAAGTTGTTTCCTACAATAAGAAAAGTTCCAAAAATGTTTTGAGCAGTGGCACAATAATTTAAACAGAAGCACAATAATCTGAACAGACACATAGGCTTCTAAGGGGACTAATTTGAAAGATAACATTCATTTAAAAGTTTTGTCATATTTAAATAATAACAAAAAAAGTCACAACAGTAACAAGTAATGGTTACAATCCACTGTTAAAATGCAATGTACAAAATGTGTGATTAAAATTGAAATACTTTGAATTATATAGATTTATGATCTAAATTAGTTTAGCATCTTTTGAATTTGTTAATATTCAAGTAAAGGCTCTAAGGCTTCTTTCTTGACATTACAAAGCAACACTATAGTGAAGGAACAAAGCATGAAAAACTCAGGTGTAAATAAGGGTTGTTCCACACATTTTAGAGGCAGATTTTATTTTTTAAATGTATCAGGACCCCAGGTAAGAATGTCAAAGAATATGTTGATTTTTTTCAGCTCAGGAAAACTGAAAGATTTTGCTTCAAAAGAAACAGAAAGACTAACAACTTGATCTGATGCTTATGACAGCAATAAGGAAAAATGTGTAATGAGGAAAAATAAACCACTGAAAGGCTTTAATGAATCACTCTTGCAAGTCTATTAAGTGGCCCTAAGGCTATCCTAATCTTCTCAGAGATAGTTATAAAATCTACCGCAAGAAGATCTTCCAACAATCCTGATAAAGCCGTTTCATTTCTTCAACTCCTCAATTGTGACAGTAAAAATAAAGTAAGGATTATTAAAAAGATAAGCACTTAAGACTGGAAAACTGTATATTAGATAAATCTTATGTGTCTATTCAACTGGCATTTATTAAGTGCCTACTATGTGCCAGGCACTCTTCGAACCACTACAGGAAACAAAGAAAGACATTAGTCAGTCCCTGCTCTCAAGGAGCTTATACTCTAATGGAAGACAACATGGAAACAACTGTGTACAAACAAGTTATATACAGGATACATTGGAGATAATCTCAGAAGGAAAGGCACTAAGACTAAGGAGGACCAGGAAAGGATTCTTATAGAAGAGTTGGGACTTGAAGAAAACAATGAGACAGAGACAATTCTAGGTATGGGTCAGCCTATGAAGATGCAGAATGTCTTGTGCAAAGAATAGCAAGGAGGCTGTGTTATTAGATAAGAAAATTATCTTTGTTTGGAGGGGGGAGGGGAAGAGAAGGAGAGTAAACTTTAGGAAGATTGGAAACGTAGAAAGGGGTCTGGTTACGAAAAGCTTACACAAGATTTTATCCAGAGGGCAACAGGGAACTACTGTGAATGTGGGTGTAAGGTGTAGGTGGACATGGTTATACTGTAACAAAATCAATTTAACAGTTGAGTGGAGGATGGTCAGGAGGGGGCTAGATGAGGTGGGGAAATCACCAGCAAGCTATTGCAATATTCTAGTTACTATGCAACTATGTTTAATAGATTTATAATTTCAGAAAGTTTTATGCTATTTTGATATACCATTTATAGTTTATTAAATATAGTGGTTGTCATCATTTCTATAAAAGTCACTTCAGAAACTTAATTCATTATTATGTCATTGTTTCTATGGGAAAACCAGATTCTACTTAAAAGCATTTAAATGTAAGTATTAAACTTGCTTATATATGCATTCTAACAGTTACATTAAGAGAATATTATCAATTAATCCTAACGGTAAACATTTCAAACCAGATGAGGGCCCTGAGGTAGCCTTCAGTTCACACCATGTATATTTACGTAACTCCAAGTAAATGAACTGGTAGTCTAATTTTATACCCCAATTTGTTCAATTCTTTCTGAATATATCTAGAGATTTTTCATTTCTCTTTTTCTGGATACAATTTTTGTCTTTTACGAAGTTATAAAGCAAAGCAAATGCTAAAAACTTGGATTTATTTGATCTTGAGATTATCCCATGGTATGTAAACAAATGAATGGGAGCATAGAAAATAGATTGTTGAACAGATTTACTCTGGAATTTTTTAATCCTACAAATCTAAAGTGTTTCTGAAAAGGACACTAACCTTATATCTAGTTCAATTTCCCACCGAATGCAGGACTCCATTTGACAACATGACCAAACTAATTTTATCAACTGGATTCTCACAACCAAGTTTGATGACACAATTCAATGAGTTTTTGAAAATTATGACAACCTATTAAAATAATATTAATTATCCGGGTTTTAGTTTTGCCCTTCCTATCCTGATTGAGAGATGATATAGTGGACACAAAGTATCAGACCTTGGTTAAGGAAGCCTGGGTTCAAATCCTGAGTAGGTTATTTACTTATTAGGTACTTATATATATTCATCTGTAAACTAAGGACAACAATACTTATACTACCTACCTCACAGTTATTGTGCAGACTGTTTTAGAACCTTAAAGCCTAAATAAACAAGAGCTGTTACTATTATTTAAATCACACCATCTGGGTTACTTACCGTATTTAAATGTAGGACCAATACTTGGTTGGTTCATTCAATGATTTTAAAATTAAACAACAGAAAAATGTAAATTCATTTTACCTGGTTACGGATGTTGAACTTGCAGGAGATTCCAGTTTTGCATTTTGTTTTTCACTAATTTTTAAAGAAAAAGAATCAAGAAATTAAAAGGTTTTCACAAGTACTATCCAATCTGTAAAGTAGATTTTTACTTTTACTAATGAAACACAAACTTCCTAAATGCAGTCTTGGTGTGGCTGCAGCTGCCACTTAACAAAATATTTGTGACAAAGCTCCATTATAATATAGCGTATTAGTTAGATTTACTGATGAGCAAATAATTCTCACCTCAAAAGAATAAATCAAATACAGTGAAAGAGATAGAAATCCTTACAACTCAGTTATATTATTTTCATTCAACCATTTGTTTATATATTCCCCCAAACTCAAGTCCTTACCCTTTTATGTCCAATTCTTTGTTCTCAGGTTTTGAAATCATTTAAAATTGAGCCCCACTGTACCGAGCCAACCTTATTTTCAACTGCTCTTTAATATACACCTTGTCACCCTGTCAGGCAGGTCTTCATGGCTAACATCTTGCTCCTCATTCATTTATGCTCTTCTCCTTGCATGTAAGGCTTTTCCTTTCCCCCTTAAAATTATGTTCATCTCTCAGTACTTATGAAATGCTGTTTAACCGAATTTAATGATAGCATTGCCTATTGAATTTGGAGGAAAACAAAGCTGGAACGAATATCCAACAAGCAAAATAGAATTGATATTCAACAACTCATAAGGATAATAGGCTAAAGCTATCAAAAATAACATTGAACAGGGATAGATGTAAAAATCCAAAGTTAAAATCAACTGCCTAACCATGTGATAGTTTGATAGTTAAAAAAGCAATCCCTGCAAAAAAGACTCCACAAGCAGATCAAAGCCAAAAAGGATGTATACATATATACTAAGATTCATAGAAGCAATTTTTATGGTAGGAAAAAAAAAGGACAAGTAGGAATCTATGAATAGGGTATAGTTGAAGAAATCAAAGCACATGATCCTAAAGGAATACCATAGTGCTTTAAGAAATAATGGATGAGTATGAATTTCATTTAAAATGCTGCTAGAAGCTGTTGCACAAACAGATATCATTGCAAAATTAGTATTTTTTAACCTGAGTTTGGCTGGCAAGGTTAATAAAATTTCTAAAAAGGTTTCATTTGCATTTCCATGGAACTTTATTCTCAATTGTTACTCAAATAAATTGTGGCTGTGAAACATACAGACACATCTAGACTTATATATTTGGTCTAGACCTGTGATTTCATTAGATACAGTGAATGCCCTGTGTGAAAACTTTCTCCGCCAAATTCTTATCTACCACTTCTGGTCTTCGCTGTTGGCTGGGAAACTCAAAGATAACTTGCCAGCAGTCACAGTTAGTATGTATCAGAGGCAGAAATTAAACTAATTATCCTAATTCTACAGCTAACTCTACCCACTATCGTATTTTGTCATTAAAATAAAAAATATAAATAATTTTGAGATAGCTCAAATTGTATTTAGTAAATTCAGAGGAAATGTCAAAATTATTGTGCTATATACACAATTCCTATATTGTATTCATTGTACTTTTGGAAGAAGTTTTTTTTTTTTTTGTTATTGTTGCACAGTGATGGCAAATGTTGTAAAGGGTTTTCACTTTTATTGGACTGAACACATCATATAAAGAAAACCTGTATAATAAAGTTTTTCCATTTAAAAAAAAAAAAGGATGGATGAGGAATTCAGAGAAAACACAAATACACAAGATTTATATGAATTGTGAAATCCAGGAATACACACAGTGGAAATCAAAAGATCTATAGAATATTGAATTCTTGTGAAAATATAATGATCAGTTTCGCTTCCATATTTACAAAAAGTTCATCACAATGGTTCCAAGAGAACATATGATGAAATACACCTAGCAGAGAGTAGGACAGACATGGAATATTACACACCCTATCGCATGAAGACTTTATGTCAGTTTTGCTCAATAACTTTTTTTTTGTTATGAAAGGAAAGTTATGTTTGTATATGTCTGTACACATACATGTCAGGAAATGATTGAGTTTAAAGTCAAAGAATCAATGAAACTTTTCAAAAGACCTAGTGGCTATAGTGTATCTTTAGATTGATGAGTGAGCAGTATGCCAATGAAATCTTTTTTTACATACATATTTAAGGAACAGAAGGAAAAATTGGAGCTAAGAAAACAATAAGGGAAAGTAACCACAGAAGATGATGGAGAGACACCATAACATGAAAGAAGGAAGTCAACACTAAAAAGAAGTCAAGGAGAAGAATAACAGATATAACACAGCCATTATTTCCTTTGGGAAAGTTTCAGCAGAATGGTGGTGAAGCAAGTCATATCAAGAGTAAAAGTATTAAAGAGTAAAAGACAGCATGTGTAGTTTATTTTTTTTAAGATCATGGCAAAGAAGGGGAGGAAAGAAATAGGATAAGGACTTGATGGAGTAGCAAGAGAAAAGAAAAAGGATTGTTTTTCTTTTTAATGAGGATATCTGACAAGGTATATAGGCAAAAGTAAAAAATTCAGTGGAGACAGAAGAGAATGAAAATGAATAAGAATGACTGAGAACAAGGAAGATAACACATCGATATGGAAGGTGGTAAGTTTGTTTAGAGTACATAAGAATGCTTTCTGATGTGTCCTAAATTTTGGAAAGTATTACATTGGCCTGGGGTTTGAGGACTACAGGATCCAATTCCCTTTTCAGAATGAAACTCTCATCAAAGATTAGACTTCTTACCCTAGCAAGGCATCTTGCAGCAAACACATATTGTTGGTCACAAGGAAAAATAGGAGAGTGGATAGAGGGTTGAAATAAATTCATCACTGTTTTTAATTTAACATAATTTCTGTATGTTAAACATGTCAAATAATGGATTTACAAACCTATTTTCTGTTTCACTACTCGAGCTTTCAACAAAAGGACCAAAAATTTCTTCATCTTTTTTGCTTTCCACTACTTTTAATGCTGCCTATAAAAAAATAAATTGGAAATATGTTAAAATCAAAGAACATTAAAAATAAATTTAAGATAAAAATGCTTAACTCACTAAGTTTTAACAAATGAAATGTCTTTTTTCCCTTTTATAAATGCATATATATTTTAAATATTTTCCCCCAATTACACATAAAAACAATTTTTAACAAACAAATGAAACTTCAAAAAAGTTATGCTGAATCAAAGATTCAGAGTCCTATCTATTTCAGGTTCTGCCATGGTCCTTTGTTTCTTTAGTGCTTCATTTCTATAGAATGAAACTCTGGGTCGTCTTATGAATGCTTAACATTTCAGTCCTCCCAAAAGCCAACTAGAATGAGAGACCTCAGATCTGTGCTCTTTTACTCATGTGATAATGACCTAGAAAACACTAGAGAAAGTAAAGGGATAACTCAAGCCAACTTGTTGGTATATGTGTATTACGTAGCACCTTCTCACTGAAACAGATCAACAAACTGACCACCATTTTACAGATGCAACATTACAAAGTCTGGTTCAGTTTAGGTTAAGTTTACATGTAATGTTTCAGCAACAGATTTAATCTGTCATCTCTGGAGCGAAACAGAGAGGTTTATCACCATTAAACTTACAGGTAAATAATGCGATATCAAAGAACAGCCATGAAACTTATGCCTAGTCATAGCAAGCATATGTAGAAGCAAATGACAGATATTACAAAGAGGGAAATCCAGGTTTGATGCAAGAGGAAAAACTTTCTAACAATTAGAACTATCCAAAAGTGAAATGGTTTGCCTCATGAGGTAGTGGGTTACAAGACAATCCCAAAGGGTTCATCATGAAAAATGCTATCTGCCTTTAGAGAAAGAATTGATGTCATCTGAATACAGACCAAAGCATACTTTTTCACTTTTTCTTTTGTTTGAATTTTCTTGCACAAAATGACTAATATGGAAAAGTTTTACATGACTGTGTAGGAATAATCTATATCAGATTGTTTATCATCTGGGGGGTAAGGGGAAGGAAAGAAGGGTAAGATAGAATTTAGAAATCAAAACTTAAAAAAAGTGTTAAAAATTGCTTTTACATGTAATTGGGGAATATTTAATTAAATTTAAAAAAAAAAGAGAGTTAGTGGATTGCCCTCTTTCACTGGAGGTCTTCAAGTAATGAGTATGTTGCAGTATGGATTTTGAGAGTAGGCTGAAGTCTCTTCCAAATCTGAATTTCAGAAAGTCAGGCCTAACATGATAATGTGAAATTTAAAAGGGACAAAGAAAGGAAGACTTGTTTGAATTAATGCAGATTAAAGTGAGCAGAACAAAGCTAACAATGTATATAGCAATAAATCTCTAAAGAAAAACAGCTTTAAAATTAAGAACCTGACAAATACAACAGACAACCAGCACTTGAAAGAGGGGTGATAAAGTTGTGGTGCATAATGAGAATACAATTTTTTGGACGTGCAGATTTGCTTGGCTTGTTACAAGGACCATATTTTTCCTTTCTGAGGGAGGAAGAGTTTAGGGTAGAGGGGACTAAACTGAAGCATTTAATAGTAATAACAATGATAGCTAGTGTTCAAATAGCACCTTAAGGTTTGCAAAATGCTTTACAAATATCTTATTTTATGTTCACAACAACCCCGGGAGGTAAGTACTATTTATCCTCATTTTACAGATGAGGAAACTTGAGGGAGACAGGTTAAATGACTTTCCCACGGTCACATAGTGAGTTCTATCTGAGGCCAAATTTGAACTGAGGTCTTCTTGACTCAGAGCTCGAGCCACTGTGTATTTCAGAGCAGAGAAGTTCAGAAGAAAACAGACAAGTAGGAAAGCTTTGAAAGTAACAGGAGGCAGGATGTTACAATAGAAAGATTACTAATTCTGGAGTTAGAAGGCCTGGTTTCAAATTCTACTTCTGATAATTACTCTTAATGTCTCTGAAACCTTGCACAAGAAGCTTAAGCTCCTTGGCATTTAGTTCCTCATCTGTAACACACTGGGCTTTGGAACAGATAGGATGGCCTCTAAAGTCCTTTTCAGCTCTCATACTATGATTGTTTCAACTTATTGCATACTATTTTTTTCTTAAAAAGCAAGATGTCCACAACAGGGAGTCATGGTTTCACATACAGTCTTCTTTTTCTGTTCTCTTTTGTATGTAGAAATGCTAAAGATGAATGCATGTGTCTCTGTGTGTGCGTGCACACACATGTATGTGTGTATATAAAACTCATAATTTAAAAAATAAAATTAAACAAAAAAATTTTAAAAGGCATTTATAAATGTAAAGTGTTAAATGGGTTCAAAAAGTCAACTTCACAAGTACAAGACTGAGGAGTCATGGATTGATAGAATTTTTCTGGAAAAAAAATCTTGGGGTTATAGTGAACTAGAATAGAAGTTCAATACAAATCAACAGTGTGATACGGCAGCCAAGAACGTCAATTTGACAAACTGCATTCCAAGAGGAAGAGTCAATTCAGGTATAAGGAGGCGATAGTAGTATTATTGTAGATTCTATTCCAGTCAGACAATATCTGGGAAATTGTGTTCAATTCTACACCAGAAATGTTCAACTTATCCCCAGAAGGTAGAATGTGGTAGAATAAGTGGGAGTTGCAAAGATCCAAATATAGTCTTCAAGTAAGGAAATACTTCTTAAAAATTAGAGCTATTATTCTCAGCAATACTATAATCCAAGATAATTCCAAAGGACTCATGATGTAAAATGCTATCCACCTCCAGAGAAAGAACTGATCAAAGCATATTGTGTTTCACTTTCTGTATTTTTTAAATGCTTTTCCCCCTCTTTGGGCCTATGTCTTCTTTCACAACATGACTAATATGGCAATATGTTTTGCATGACTGAACAAGTATAACCTGTATCAAATTGCTTAAATAGGGTGGTGAGGGAGGAAGAGAGAAAATTCGCAACTCAAAAATTTTTAAAAATGAATATTAATAACTTCTTTATGTGAAACTGGGGGAAATTTATTATTCAAAAAAAAAAATAATCAGCATTCTTCAGAGCCCCTCCCCCCAAATTAGAGCTATTAAGGGGTAGTTAGTTTTCTTGACATTGGAGGTCCTTAAACAAAAAGTTCTTTTTCAGGTTTGGATTGAACTGCCTGACCACTGAGGTCTCTTCTACACAAATTCTGTGAAAACTCAATATAGTTCTTAGTCCTGTGCTATCTCCTCTTTAATAGCAATAACAAAAGTATAATGGGGAAAAGGGGCAGAAGCTGCTGAGGTTGTGTTTTTAGACTATCAAAATTAACTTAAATTATAAATGTGTGATCCTTGTCATAAACAATGAACTGGCATACTCTTTACTCTCTCAAGGACTCACATGTGATATTGATATTCATATGATAATGAAACCAAAAGACAAAAGGAAGTTACAGCTAGGTAGATCCTCTGGAGGGATCTATGACAAACATGAACAACAATCACATAGTATGAAAAGGCATAGATAGATTACAATTGTGAATGTGGCCCTGAAGCAAACTTAACCTGTTTTCTTGAGTTACCATATTTTCCAGAACTATACAGGAGACTCAGCTGAGCCAATGATGAAGTCCCCTTGAGCCAACATAATTTACAACTCTCAATCCTAACAGAAGCCTCAGTGCACCCTTGGAGCTGAGTCAGCTATAAACCTAGCTCTAGCCAGTCTATCCCAGACTGACAACTGTTCAGTTGGGACCCTTTCACATAAGCAGAGCATCCTATTTTCATGGTCTACCAGTTCCCAAGAAGGAGGAAAGGCTGAGGTTCCTCCTGCTCCCTCTTGCTCTCTCTCCTTCCCACTGCTGTCCCTTTCTCCTCCCATTTGGGAGGGGACTGACACTTTCTCCTTCCGTGCAAACCACCCAATTTCACTGTAACCCTTAAATACCCAAGATTTTGTCTGCATTGCTGGCCTCATTTGTACTCTGTAATCAGGTGACCTAGCATGCATGTTTTTCTGCTATCTCTTGTAATAAAGTAAGTTACTAGTCAAATCTTTTGGAATCATGTCTGCTGGTTGATATAATCTATATTGATGGAAGGAATAACCACACTGATGCAATCACAGGCCCTGTTAAGTACAGAAATATAAAACATAATTTAAGGAGCTAGTCTTACTATGATATAGAATGAATATAGCCATAGTGGTTAAGTATTAACAGACAACTTGCAACTTTGTGACTGCTCAATAATTTGATCTATAACCAATTAAACTACAATACTTTAGCTATGACATTATAAATGCTGAATCTGTACATTCATTCTAGCTTTGTAGAAGTGGGTATTAATATCCTTATACATGGTTTTTGGTAACCAAAAAGACAGCAGACCATTTTAAAGCACTATAAATATTGACTAAATCACAAAAGTCCTAACACGACACTTGTACATAAAACATTGTGAGGCATGGATAGAAAATATCTGTATCCTCATTTGAAAGGCAAGGAGATTAAATAGCAATGATATTTATTCTGGCTAGAGTACAAAACAAATCAGTCAGTTATACCTGCCAGATTTTTCTTTTGTATCCACTCTTGCTATTTTCATTTATCCAAACGTAAAAATTGGGTTTTCAAACATCCACAAAGATCAGGTTTTTAACTTTGTCCTTCTTTTCTAACTAACTATTGATACAATTCAACAAAACAAGATTTAAAGAGTATCACTAAAACTTCATACATACCTTCATTAGAAAGCTTGATGATTTTTCAGTTAACACTTGATTAGCATAAATCTTCACTCTGTCTATCATGCATTTATAAGTGAAGCGTTGAAAAAAAGGATGGTATGGATCTTTCTTATTGATTATCATCAACAACTTCATTTTTAGAGGCTAAAGAAAAGATAAGAGAAGAGTAGAAATTCACAAACTATACTAATTGCAATTTTTCAGAATAAAAATGTGTTATATGTATGTATGCAGTTCAAGTTAAAAAAATTTATTGGCCATGAATGTGAAAAGTATTGTGCAACCTTATTAAATTTCCAGGCCAAAACAGGTTCAAAGGAGGACTATAAACACCAGTATAGACATTTAAAATTACTTCGCAATTTTTTACATTTAAATAAATAAGATTCATTCCCCAAAACGAATAACTTATCTTCCATTCCCTAAGTTTCCATTATAATTCTTTGGTCCACCCATCTCCATTTCTTTTTTCCTATATCTAGTCAAAATTAGTATATACTTTGTTCTGGCTCTGCTTTTTCGGTCTGCATATTTCACAAAATTCTTTCCTACATTTTATATGCCCCATACATTCACACTTATTGCATTATGGTATTTCATTATGTTATTGTATCCCCAAAATATGCCTTGACATTTTACTTACATTTTCTGTCTGGAATACCCTCTCATTCCCACCAACCGCCCCCATCCTCTCATTTAAGTCTACCTTAAATCATACTTCTTTGCTGAAGAATTCTTTGCTTGCCCTACACTCAGTAATCTCTCCCTTCCTCTGAAGGACTACAGTACTTCTTGCTTGCACTATTGTACTATTACACCTTGTACTATTAATATTTTCATACATCTAATCTCTTCAACTAAAGAATCATCTTTTAAAAGATCATTATGCCTAATCCTTCATTTTATACATGAGGAAATGGATACCAAGAAAACTAAAGTAAGTTGCTTATGGTCATACAGTTATTCTGTGGTAGAGGCAGATTTTTAAACATCCTGGTCTTCTTACTCTAAATACAATGCACTTTGGGGGGGGGGCACAATGCTGACTGTTAATCCTCTTCCTTCACTTTAAGAACAAGCCAGCTATGTTACATATAACCTTTAATAAATTCCACTTGGATGCCAGTATTTTAAGTCAGACTCTGCTCCAGCTTCTTACGACTGCAACAGCACTGCTTACCATATTACCAACTACTTAAGAAAGAACATGCTGCTAAATGTAGGGCAATAACGATGGTCACCTTTCACTCCAACCTCCAAAATTACACTATTCAAACCCAAGATACCTGCGCTTGAAGATGATATATCAAGTTAGGGGAAGTTACTTCCTTCTAATGCAGCACATTCTCATTTTTGAGTAGTTCTGGTTGCAACTAAGTTTTTCTTTTTATTGAGCCAAAATCTGCTTTTCTGCAATTTCTACCCATTGTCCAGTAATTGTGACATCTGGGGCCAAGCGGGATAATAGTTAACCAATCTCCATATGAAAGCCCATGAAGCCAGTTATTCTACACTTCCCTCCCACCATTCCCACCTTGGGCTTCTCTTCTTTAAGCCAAACACTCCCAGGTCCTTCAAATGATCCTCAGATCATTTTGCGATGGTAATTTGTCACCTTCCTCAGTATCATTCAGTTAATATCCCTCCCCAAAAACATGGCACCAGAACCGAACACAACAGTTCAGATTTTATCGGGGCAGATTTATGTTTTCCACTTCAACAAAAAGCATTCTTCTGTTTTAATGGTGAGAAATTTAGATTATACAAATAGGTTTAAATTAAATTACATATCACAGAAGTAGACTGTGGTTACAAGTCTTTATTACTCCATTACCTCAAGAAACTAAACGTGAAGTTAATTGTGGAGGGGAGGTAGTTTGGTGTAATTGAAAGAACATCATTATGGAATGAAAAGACCTAGATTCAAATGCCAGTTATGCAATTTACTACCTGTATGACTTCAGGAAAATCACATAGTTTTTGTGGGTTTCAGTTTCAGTTTTCCCATTTGTAAAATGAGTTGGCTAGACTAGAAATTCTAAACCCTGGGATTAAATGGTATTCTCAAGTAGCATCTGCAATATCTTACTAGAGTTAAGACGACCTTAACTGGCTAACAACAATGTTGCTTCACAAGTATCCAAAAGTAGAATGAAGTGATTTTCCTAAAGCAGAGATCTGAACATGTCACTCTCAAACTCTCTCAACTACAGGGGTTCCTTGTTATCTAAAGGACCAAATGTAAAGTCCTTTGTTTGGCACAGATGCAACAAACTGGCACAATGGATGGGACACTGGGCTTAGAGCCAGATCCAAGTTCAAATCCAGCCTTAGACATTTACTAGCTGTGTGACCCTGGGCCTCAAGTTTCTTCAACTGTAAAATGATAGTAATAATAATACTTAACCTTCCAAGTTTGTTCAGAGAATCAAATAAGACAGGCCCTTCATTAATCCTCTTGTTTCTTCCAAAGCTCTTTACCAACTTTGCCTTGTTAACCTTTCCAATCTTCTTATGCATTACTAATACTACATGATCTCTGTGACCCAGGCTGGTTCTCTTGTCCCCCATGCCTAGTAGAATGCTCTGCTTCCTTACCTTTGTCTCCTGCTTTCCCTTTCAAGACTGCTCAAATCCCACCTTCTGCAAGAGGACTTTCCTGGGTCCCTTCAGCTTTGAAAGCCTTCTCTTATTATGGCTACTTTCCATTTGTAGTGGAAAGGGCACTGGACCTGGGGGGGGACCCCCCCCCCCAAAAACTCTGAGTTTAAATTCCACCAGAGACATTTATTAGTTGTGTGACCCTGGGGAAGTCACTTAATCTCAATGTGCCTAAGTTTCTATATATGAAAAATAAGGGCTGAACTCTGATTTCCCAAGGACCCTCCAGCACTAAACCTCTGATCCTTTACTCTGGGTATTGTTGCATCATTTTTTTTTTCCAGTTATGTCAGACTCTTTATGACTCTATTAGGGATTTTCCTGGCAAACATCCTAGAGTGCATTGCCATTTCCTTCTCCAGCTTATTTTTCAGATGAGGAAACTGAGGCAAACAGAATTAAATGACTTGCCCAGGGTTACACAGTTAATAAGTGTCTGAAGCCAGATTTGAACTCAGGAAGATGAGTCCTCCTCACTCCAGGCCGGGCACTCTATCCAGCGTGCCACCTAGCTGCCCTTACTCTGCATATATCTTGTACCTATTTATATAAACTGTCTTCCCCAATATGAGGGGGGGGCATTTCCACTCATCCTGATCTATATCTTGCCACTGGACCCAGATGGCTCTGGAGGAAAAAGTAAGGCTGGTAACTTTGCACAGCCCTCCCTCACTTAAACACAATTCACTTGCAAGTCATGGTAAGTCATGGCATCACCTTCTTGTCATGGTCCACTTCAAGAATGAAGGACAAACAACAACTTCCCCAATATAATGGAAAGTACCTAGAGTGCAGGGAACTATTTTTGCTTTTCTTTGCAAAACACTTAGTAAGAATTTAATTATTAGCCTTCTTTACAAGAGGCAGCCTCAGGAATTGGACACAGGTCTTAGAACTTACAGATAGTGCTTTTGCCATTCTATCACAGTGCTTCTTTTCATAGAAAAGACTTAATTCATTAATACAAGTAACCAAATAGCTCTCTTAAAAATCTTTGGGTATGTTAATATTAAGTAAGTTATCTCTTATACACCTCTCTAAGATAAAGTATATCTTTAAGCAATTTTCTAATTTATTTTCTTCATTCTGTGTATATAACCTCATATAAAGTCTTAAAAGATCATCTGACTTATCTGCAAATATTTTCCCGCTCAAAAAAGAAATTATCCACCAGATAGAGTATTTACAAGTGAATTTGTAAGAAAATACTCTAAATAAGGTACATCAAGAATTAACATAAGAGTACTTGAATACTTAGAACTCTCATTCAGGGTCTCCCCAAGCAATAAAGGTTCTTTTTGTAGAGAATAAGGACAGAAAACTAGGGGGCTGTCCCTCAATAGGAGAATGGATGAATAAATTATGGTACATGAATATAATTCACATTACTGGGATAAAAGAATGAAAATGGTTTCAAAGAAACCTGGGAACACTTGTATGAACTGTTGCAAAATGAAGTGAGGAAAATCAGGAGAACAATTTATACAATAATAACATTGTAAAAAAGAAAACAAAAACCTTTGAAAGACTTAAGAATTCTGTCAATGTAGTGAACAACAATGATTCCAGAGAATGAAAGATGAAGTATCTTACTCATGCCTTTTGATAGAGGCGATGGACCCAAGATACAGAATTTATTTAATATACATTTTTGGACATGGTCAATGTAAAAATTTTTTTTGCTTGACTATTCACATTTGTTGTTTCATTTTTGTTTTACTTTCAGTTTGGGTAGGGAAGTTGAGAAGGTGAGAAATGAAATGTTTGATAACTCGAAAAAGATAAGAGAAACCAAAGCACCCTGAACAAAAGAGAAATCAAAATCATAAAAGTTATGAATCAATTTAGGTTAAGAAATCAGAGTTTTCAATGGAGATTTTAAAAACACAGAAAAGAAAATAAAAACTGAATACATGATGGATAAGCTGAAAGAATTCAAGTTCTTAGAACAAAAGATTTGAAAAACAAAAATACTGAACTAGAGAAAAATATGGCAGAAGGAGGAAGGAAAAGTCAACATTGTTCAAAAAAGATATAAATTCTATACCAGGCAAAGCATCTGACCCCAAATAAAGAGATTCAGATGTGCAAAGATAAGTTAACAATTCTAGGCATTCCAGAGGAATGTGATCAATTAACAAAAACTGAATATCACAATGCAGCCCCAAGATTCAGAATCCAGACAACAGAGCACTATCAAAAAAATCCATCGATCACCAGGAAATCTAATAATTCAGACTCGACTGTATGCAATGCTTCAACATTAAACAATTTTACATATTTACCGTATCATCCTCTGTGTCTCCATATATCCTTTCAAAGACTCCTTCGGCTTCTTTATAGCTTGCTTTCTCCATGCAAACTGCAACAGCCTAAGAACAATGTTAAAGATAGTCACAAACACATTGCTTCACTTTCTAAAAGTAGTAAGATCTTTCCTAAGATGGCATTTGAAAAATTGCACATTTTACATAATAGCTTTATAAAAAAATTTAGTTAGAAACAATTTTTTCTTTAATGATAAAACATCTGACATGAGAATGCCTGAAAATTTTACTTTGGTTAAATTCCTGTTTAATGAATGGTCAAATCACAACTCAACTCATGCTCAAAGAATCTTCCAGTTGGAATGGACATTGGAACCTATCAAATTTACAATATCCAATACAAATGGCTATTTAGCTTCTCTTTGAAGACCTTCAGTAAAAAGAAATTTTTTATTAAGTTTTTTCTTAGAATGAATTTAAATTTGGCTTCATATAGCTTTAACTCACTGGAACCCTTGTTCTGCCTATCTGGACCAATAAAAACAAAATCCCTGATTGTTCCTCCATATTAAAGTCAATCTATTTTTATACATTTAGTATCATAATAGCATTTGAGAAAACTGTGGCATATGAAAGAAAATGCTCATTAGGCAAATTAGAATCTTTAATAGAAATTCCACTTCTGAATATCATGTAAGCTATAGTGAAGAATTTCACTGTTTTGTGGCCAAAGCTGACTCTAGTGATGTAATGAGAATGTCACTACTCCACCATCACTGCCCTATTTTTTATGACACAAAAATTATTTGCAAGGTTAACCTTTCCAGTAACAAAAAGTACTTTGAAAAAAGAAACAAAGGAACCTTTGCTACTCTGGGAGTTTTTAAGAAACTTTATTTCCTTTTTCCAGTTTAAGTCTTACTTCACTGTTTCTCATTTACAAATGGCACTTACCACTACTCCTCAAAAATCAATGAAAAAAACTTTTTAGTTTTTGTTATATGTGTTAGAAATGGGAAGCATTTGTATATGTGCTATAATTCACACCTGTATCCTATAATGATTTATTTTGGACTTACAGCTTTTAATGTTTTGTATCTAAAATTGTTGTTACTTTGCATAATGACTTTTCTGTTTTGGTGCAAACAATGAAACATATTCTGTTTTCAGTATTTACTATACCCAACCAAACTTGTTAGTAGGTTTTCCTCCTTTTTGCAGACTTGACGACCCTGATAATAAACTGTATATATTTTAAGGAAGAATAAGTCATTTAAACTGTCTAGCCTTTGGCAGAGAGCTCTAAAGTTAAAGTTAAATAAATTCCTAAAAGTTTCAACTATCTTATTTCCATTATGTTCATGGCAATTTTTTTTTCATGGCACTTAAAAAAAAAAAGATTCCAATAACATATCTATTTTCACTATATATGTAAAAAGCACAGGGTATTAGGTACAATGTACGGACTTGAATTTCAAGTAAATCATGGATTTGGTCATGAAGTGCTTCTTTTTCCTTTCTAATTTTATTCCAGATCATCAAGGCTGATTCCAATGGAGTAAGTCGTGCATCACTTTCAAACTGTGCATCTTAAAAAAAAAAGCAAAAGAACGTGAGTAATTTTGGAAGTTAAAAAGAAAACAACCGCAGATTTACTGTCACCAGCTTATTTAATATAACAATATAGTAATTCATCTGTTTTGACAAATTTCCATTTTAAAATCAAATTTTTAAATGGGAAAACCTGTTTTACTCAATGAAAAGTTTTTGGAAATAGACTAGATTAAGGAGTAATGAGTTCATGCGATACCAAAAGTTAATAAGTTTATTAGGTTAAAACTGATTTCAACAAACCTCAAAGGATGGTCTTAAAAACTTTTTGCTGAACTGACAAAAATACTGTGGTGTTACACATCCTCTTATACTGTGTAATTCTGGCTTCCCTGAGAGGAGAGGAAGAAGAGAGAAAAATCTGAGCCAAATATAGAGAAAATTCTAAATGTGAACTGGAAAAGTCTGAGGATAATTCAAAGGAGAAAGAATACGAGGAGGGCCCAATCCAAAGAAAGAAAAGGATTAAATATTAAATGAGTACCTTAAGACAACCATAAGAGTAAAAGGAAAAGGTAAGATGGCAAAGGAATGCAGAAAAAGTAAATAAAACAAATTACTAAATTGGTAAGCAAAACAGACTGGTAGAAAAAAAAAGAACTTAGTTAATGAGAAAGGGTGTGGCAGACAAGATAAATTTTAAGTGGCTTAGGAAGTGATGTGTGAAGACTCACAAACAGCTAAACAAGGCTAACTATAATAATCACTCTGGAGAACAGGGAGAATACTAATAGTGGCTTGTATCTGAGGTTGAGATGTTTATAGTTCTGCCACAGTCAAGTCTTTGCTATATATTATTCAAGAGTAGGTTTGTCTTCCTAAAAGTAAAAGTGAAGATAGTTCCATGAGATCAGACGTGGTCATCAGGGACAGACAACCAACCGTGCCTTGGAGGAAAAAAAATGTAAGTGGAGATCAACGTGAGACTCAAATGAGATAACATGCTTTGTAAATCTCAGAGTGCTATATAAATACTGTGGTTATGTATTAATATTGCAGGATATTTATCTATCTGAGGCCCCTTGGAATGCTGCTTCCCTTAGTTTTGCTGAGGCACTGGGGGACCTGATTGCTGTAGAATACTGAGGCACCTGGTGGTTTTCCAAGCTGGTTTCCACTGGTTCCCCTACCCTCATTGATGCACTCGGGTATCCTGGTATTGGTGTTTGCCTGCTCCACCACCTGGGGTTCAGGATCTCCTCCTGGTATGCTGAGGTGGGACTTTCCACTAGCTTGCTGGGATGCCTCCCGTTCTGTACTGCTCCCCTTCCCCCAGGGCAAGAGGGGCCTTTCTCTAATCGCTCAAGCTACCTGGGCTACTGGACTGCTGCACCCAGTCTGATATTTTCTGGGCTTTCAGAGATTAATAAGGGAGGGTAAGAGTGATTTACTTCTTACGCTTCCATCTTGGTTCCTAGAAGCAGAAGTCCCTATGTATTAATATTGAAATAAAGAGGGGTAGCTAGGCAGGGCAGTGGATAGAGCACTGGCCCTGCAGTCAGGAGGACTTGAGTTCAAATCCAATCCCAGATAATTACTAGCTGTGTGACCCTGGGCAAGTCACTTAACCCCAAATGCATCCAAAAAAAGAAAGAAAAAGGAAAGATTAACTTTCTTTCCAATTCAGTCCATATACCTTCTGAAATTTATCCTTTGGGAATCTATGGTTCTCAGGTTAAATATAAGGGGAAAAAAGAGCTAAAGTTAAAGAGGGAAAATTGCCTTTCGTCGAGTTACTGAATAGAAGAATATCACAGAGGAAGAAGGGTGGGACAGTTTATCCTTCAAGGAATGAGAAGTTAGCCACCCAGAAGCTATCCAGAAAAGAAGAGCAATTATTTGCCAACCTCAAAACTGAGAAGTTTGATGCTCCCCCAGGACACGTATCCATATAACAGGGAACCTCTAAATAGTTATCAAAATGGATTACTACTCCCCATTTTTGGCAATCTGCATGTGTATAAATAACAATGCCAGAAGGGATCTAGAAAGTATTGGAGAAACTTTACAGAACTGGACAAAATAACAAAATTCATTTGAAGAAACAAAAGAACTAACACAAAACCAAAAATGTAGGAGCATAGCAGGAATAACACTTCCAGACTTCAAACTATTATAAAGTAGCAACTAGAACTATTTGATACCTTCATGATTTTATATATAAAATATGTGACTTAGAAAGACAGATCAATGGAACAGATTAGAGAAGGAAGAATCAGAAATAACGAAACTCAGTAGGGTTCACTAAACCCTAAATATAACATACTTAAGAAAAATGAAAATTGAAACGCATCTGACCTTTTGCCTTACACACAGCAAATTTACAAAGATAATTAAAGATGGGAATCAAATTAACTTTGGAGGGGTTATAAAAGAGCAGGGATACTAATAACATGATTGGTGGAGCTGTGAATTGGATCAACCATTCTGGAATGCAATTAGGAAGTAAAAAGAGTAAATACATATCCATACCTTCTCAAAGGGGACCTCTAGGTCAAACCTCAAGATTCCATTTCTAGGAGGTTTATACCCCAAGGAGATAAGTGGCAAAAAGAAAGGACCCATATATACACCTAGATATATGCAGAAGCATTTTTTTTGGGGTAAGAGTAAAGAACTGCAAACAAATTACTTGCCTATCAATTGGGTGACACTGAAATAAGTTTTGGAACATCAATGTAAAAGATTATGGAAGATCTGGATACAGATTTTCCTTGAATGGATACAAAGCAAAGTAAGCAAGACCTCAGAAAACAATATGTACATTCATTACAACAACATAGAATTAAAGAACAAATCAATCAAAGCTGAATATTTGGGACACAGCTAGGTGGATAGCAGATAGAGTGCCTACATGGAGTCAGGAAGACTGGAGTTCAGATACTGCCTCAAATACTTATTAGCTGTGTGCCTGGGCAAATTATTTAGCCTTTCAAGCTTAGTTTCTTCAACTACATATAAATAGCACCTACACCTCAGATTGGTTGTGACAATCAAATATAAAGTGTTTTGGAAACCTTAGAGTGATATATATTGTTCTTATGTATTATTATTGAAATAAAGATATAACTTCCCAATTAATTTCACACATTCTCTGAAATCTACCCAAAAACCCCTTTGGGGTCTATGGCTCTCAGATTAAGAACCTTTACCATAGAAGCTTTGTGTATCAGGAAAACAGTGAAAATAGCGTGTTGGTCTCAGAAATAAATAGGAGAAAAGAAGGCATGGATTGCCTTGAGGTAACTGCCAAGCTCCTTTAATGATCTCAAGTTTCTCCCAGAAAAAAGTCCACTTCCTTAATCTCAACATCCTACAGCTGTTGTCATAGTACACTAGTCTTTGAAGTACTAAGAACGATTACCACAGAGAGGGCAAAGGAAAGATACACGGCAGGTGTGAATAGACTTCAATATGTGAGGAAGTTCAAAAGAACAAGAGTAAAAGATAATCATCAAAACTACTTGGTACTGATTAAGAAAAAGAGCAGTGGATCAGTAGAATAGGTTAGGTACACAAGACACAGTAAGTTAACGACTGTAGTTATCTACTGTTTGATAAACCCAAAGACTCAGCTTCTGGGATAAGAACTCATTATGTAACAAACACTATTGGGGAAAATGGAAAATAGTATGGCAGAAACTAGGTACAGACCAACATCTTACACCATATACCAAGATAAGATCAAAATGGGTAGATGATTTAGACATAAAAGGTGAGACTATGAGCAAATTAGAAGAGCAAAGAATAGTTTACCTCTCAGATCTATGGAGAATGGAAGAATTTACGACCAAATAAGAGATAGAGAATATTATGAAATGCAAAACAGATAATTTTGATTACATTAAACTGCAAAGTTTTTGCACAAAGTCAATGCAACCAAGATCAGAAGGGAAGCAGAAAGCTGGAAAACAATTTTTATAGCCAGTATCTCTGATAAAGGTCTCATTTCTAAAATATATAGAGAACCGAATGAAATTTATAAGAATATAAGTCATTCCCCAATTGATAAATGGTCAAAGGATATGAATAGGCAGTTTTCAGATGAAGAAATTAAAGCTATCTATAGTAATATGAAAAAATGCTGTAAATCACTATTGATTAGAGAAATGCAAATTAAAACAACCCTGAGGAACCACCTCACACCTATTAGATTGGCTACAATGACAAAACAGGAAAATGATAAATGTTGGAGAAGATGTAGGAAAATTGGAACACTGTTAGTGGAGTTGTGAACTGATCCAGACACTCTGGAGAGCAATTTGGAACTATGCTCAATAAAACTGTACCTACCCTTTGACCCTAGCTCTATATCCCAAAGAGATCATAAAAATGGGGAAAGGACTCAAAAACATTTATAGCAGCTCTTTTTGTGGTGGCCAAGAATTAGAAATTAAAGGGATGCCCATCAATTGGGAAATGGTTAAATAAGCTGTGGTATACGAATGTAATGGAATACTATTGCTCCATAAGAGATGATGAGCAGAAAAAACCTAGAAAAACTTACATGAACTGATGCTGAGTGAAATGAGCAGAACCAGGAGAGCAATGTACATAGTAACAGCAACACTGTGTGATGACCAACACTGACAGACTTAACTCTTCTCAGCAACACAAGGATCTAAGACAATTCCAAAAGACTTGTGATCGAAAATACTATCGACATCCAGAGAAAGAACTACAGAGTCTGAATGCAGATTGAAGCATACCATTTGCTCTCTTTGTTTCTTCTTTCTTGTGGTTTTTCCTTTTGGTTCTAATTCTTCTTTACAACATGACTAATGTGAAAATATGTTTTAAAAAAAGGAGTAAAACATATAATAAAAATGTTCTAAGGGAAATGTATTATAAGAAAAGAAATGGTGAAGATAAAAAATGACAGAAATCCTGCCTGCGATGCTCCCCAAAATATTAGGAAGAAGTAAGGAAGTCCTTCAGATTGTAAAGTCAGTCTTATGGTGATCTTAATCCCCAGGAACAGGTAAATATTTCTGTGTAATCCTGGAGGGAACATTGAAATCAATGTTATCAAACATATCTGAGTATCTGGGTTGACTAAGAAATTCATGTAGACACACAGGGAGCTCACTAACAAATTCAAATTTCAAAGAGACACAGACATACTTTGAAATGATAGGTAAACATAGGATAATTCCTGTTAAGAGAATAAAGCTGGAAGTGCTAAAGTGCAGAATGTACTTACAATGGCTAATAAGGCTAAGGATAACATAAAGAGTTTTGTAGCTATGCTGTGAGATAGTGAATCCAAGAAGGAAGAGGATTGTTCATTTCTGTTTCAGCTGCTGAAGAGAATGTCCTTTGCCTTAGAAAGGACAGAACAAATAGGGAATAAATAGAACAAACAAGTAGGAGTTGAGTGGCTAGATAATTAGGGAGAAAAGAACCCAGCTGAATTGAATATACAAATATTGAAGGAACTGACTGATGTTATTGGGATTATCTATTTACTGTCATTTATCTTCGTGAATTGTGGCATCTAGAAGAGGTAATAAAGATCGAAGAAAGGTAAAAGATTTAGTTTTCAGAAATGCACAAAACAGAGCCTACAAAGTATAGAAAGGTGAGCTAGACTTTAATTCCTGGTAAAACTCTAGACTGTTTTATTAGAGGGATACTGAAATTGGATTCCTACCTTTCTAACTTGGCTTGGGAAAATCAATGGAAACTGCAGTAAAAAAAAAATACTTTGTTGACAAATTAAATGTTCAGTGTCCCCGGATTCCTCAAGTCAAAGAATACTGTGTTGTGAGTAAAGTTTGAGAGTGACTCTAACCAGTCATTATTTGATTCCACAGACAACTAATAGAAAATGACATCAGTAAACAACGTGTTTTAACAGGCAATTTCATTTTTTGTGATTTTCAATGTTTGTAATTTAGTACCTTCCAACTCTCTTCCTGAGAAAAATTTTCAATAATGTACTGAAGTGAGTTAGTAAGCTCCAAGTCCCTGTTGGGATACATTTTTATTGTAAACTATAGTTACCAACATAATTTCCTAACTTTTCTCCTCTGTCCCTTTTGTCAAAGTTACCAAATATCGAGGGTATGGGGTATGTGTGTGTGTGTGTGTGTGTGCATGTGCATGCATGCATGCACATGGCACACTCTAGAGCACTTAGTTTGAAAGATCTTGTCATACTCTTCATTGAATGTCTTCTTCGTCCTCCTCAATGTTCTTTAAAAACTCTGGCTACTGCCTTTATGTAAAGTATTGTGGTATACGTGAAAATTTATGCAATGAAAAGGATGCTTTTTAAAAAGCTATATTTTGGTAGCAAATAATCAGAAATTATAAGATGAAGAATTGTATTACTATGTAACATGATTATAAATATTAAGAACATATTAGGAAAATATCAATTTTATCAATTAACTGAATAGACATTAAGTTTAAAGTGCTAAATGTTTCACAGTGGTCTATGAAGAGTAAAGTCACAGGACTTGAATGAATCAGGAGGAAACACCACAAAATTTATGATCTTATATTGTCTGATATACCCTGTAAATTCTAAGAAAGGTATTTGTGAAATGACTAGTATGATGTCAAGCATACATTGACAAAACTATTTTTCAAAAGATGACAGCTTCTATTTGGTTGTTATTCCAACTGACATAACTTTCAAGAGACATGTCGTAAGTATTTATATAAAGGACTGAAAAACCTACTTACCTAGTGTTTTTCCTTCCACTATTCTTGTTAAAAACTGACACACATATATAGTTCTTAGATGATGTGCTGTTAGTTTGGATAGTCCATGAATAATGGCTGAAACAAAACATGAATTAGATTAAAACAAGAAAAGTAATCCAGCAGTGTCACTATGTGGCTAGTTAAAACAACAACAACAACAGATATAAGCATTTAAAAAAAAATCAGAAATCAGAAATATTTTTTTCTATCCATTTGTACAGATAATATAATTAGGGCAAGGTTGGAATAGCACATTAATGCTTTCATTATACAACTTAAATCCAGTTACAATTTGACAAGTATATATTTCACAAAGTATGTTTATAATTATGTTTACAGATAGCTGCTATTTTGATGAAATTTTCTTTTGATGAAATATTCCTGATGAAAAATAGTCTTATGTAAACATATAAAACCAGTATGGAACTCTGCAATATCTACTCTCCAATTCCTTGGTCCCTTGTTCTACAACCACTCATTTTTTGCCAAGGTCCAATCTTGAATTACTACCACCATCAGCCTTCTCTACCACCAAAGAGAGCTAAAGAAAGTTTTACCTAATCTCACTAGGGCTTCACTACAGCAAAGAAGTCTTTTTACTCCTCAATTGATTCTAACCTACATTAGTATATCTATTCCAAACCTTCAATCTCCTCAAACCTCCCAGGCTTCCAACTCTTCTCTCCACTCTCAACTATGCACCCTTGTTGCATACTTTACTGGAAAAAAAAAAAATTGAAGACCATTACCCATGAATCTCCTCTTTTTCTCTTCTCTGCATCCTATATGACCTAGTTGACATTATCTTCCATTCTCTCTTTTACTGGTCTGATGAGGTAGTCCTCACCAACCCACATTGCCCCCTAGACATGTCCTTGATCCACATTCTTCTCTAGATTCCCCTCACAATCATTCCTTCTCTAATCTTCAGTCTCCCCAAGTACCAGTTCCCAAACCTCTCCTACCCAGAAAAAACCCCTACCATATATCTATACAAGCTAGCACTCTATCTCTCTCCTCTGTTACAGACTCTGAGAAAAAGCTGTCTATGCCCATTGCCTCCATTTCTTCTCCTCTTAATTCTCAACCCTTTTCGATCTGACTTCTCATCTCATTAAACAAAAAGTGCTCTCAAAAGTTACCAATGAACTTAACTGCCAAAATCAATGGCTCATCCCTCAATCCTTGTCTTTACTGGCTTCATGCTATTCCTGGAACAGAATAAACCACCCTCCAATTCAGAGCATTTTTATCAGCTGTTTCCATGCCCAGAACACTCTGCCACCTTATCTCCAACTTTTAGCTTACATTGGGCTTCCTCCAAGTCTCAGCTAACATTCCACCTTCTGCAAGAAACCTTTCTCAATCCTCTACCTTAAGAGGATACCCTACCAGACTACCCCAAATTTATCCTGTATATATACACATACCATATTGTTTACAAATAGTTATTTGCACATTGTCTTCCTATTGGACTGTGAGCTCTTTGAGAGCAGGGATTTTTTTTGCCTTTCTTTATATCCAGGCACTCAGCACAGTGCCTGACACATGGTACGTGCTTAATATAAATGCTCACTTGCCACCTTCTATATAGCATTTGACAATATCGACCTCTCCTCTCTAGGTTTTTATAATACTGCTCCCTCTTGGATCTTATCTTACCAATGTAAGGGCTCAGCTACTAACTTTGGGTATATCATAAGGCTATTCTGGGCCTCCTCTTCTTTCTATACTGTCATTTGGTGGCCTTGTTAGCTCCCTCTGGGTTAACTATCATCCCTATGCTATGACTTCTAACTTTACATATGTATATATATAAATAGGCTATTTTATATTTATCCCATTCTCTCTCTACTCAAAAGCCACATTAGTTCACATATACCTCGGACAATATTTCTTCTTCAAGTGACTTCCCCCAACCCACAAGTGCTCATCACCATTTTCCCTACACTCACCTTACTTCTCTAGTTCTGGATTCTCTCACAAATAGGTTTGGTAATTTGAACTTTTCAGAGCATATTGCAGTCATGGGCCCCATCCCTCCAGGTCTTAGGTATATTACTACTGAAATCAAATTCACTTCCTTTTATTAAGTTATTTCACTTTATTATCTAAGCTTTATCATACTTCTGTATCAACTGCAGATATGGGTTTTATTGCTGGCTCCTTTCTTGGATTTTGTCTCCTGTTAATTACATATCTACAACTATTCTTATTAGACATGTTAGCTATTCTTTATGACATCTAGTTTGGTAGAGATGTGTAAGGCAGCTTTCTCCCTCATCTCTTTTCTTCTCTTAACCAGATTTTTAAGATTCCAAGGACATTTTTTTTTTTGACTAGGCCTTATTAGCCTGCCCTATTTTTGGATGATCATTCATAGCTTCATTCAAGACAATCCAAATCTCGTTCTTAAACACCAATGTCTAAACCAGCTGTTTTCTTTCTTTCCAATACCTCTGCTTTGAATCAGCAACAGTGATGAACACCTCATGTGTGCCTAAGTTCTTTGATTTCTTGCTTAGGACACCTCAAACCTTAGGAATCTTTTCTAGGCTCCTCCTGGCAGTATCATTTGTTCTCATATCAATCATGAAAGTGATTATTACATTTGACCAATTTCAGGAAGGGTTTTGTCAAGTTCCAGATATTTGACTCCAGGAAGGGAGACCTCTTAAATATTAGTATCAGGTTGTCAATCAGTGCCTCTTTATAGTAGGTTATATGTATACAAAACAGTGATGCATAATACTGTATGTCAAAATAAGTGCTTCATACAGTTGTTGCCACAGTTCAGTTGGGTAAATGTCTTTCATGTAGGTTAGACATGGATACATAGGCTGGCAAGGGGAGGGAAGGTTATTATAGTGGAGAAAAAGAACAAGTGCAGAAGCAGGAATGAAGATGAATGTTCAAAAGAAAGGAATTATAGTTTGGTAAGTAGATTTAGTAAGTATAACTGGAAGGCTAAGTGGTGCAGTATATACAGCACCAGGCCTAGAGGCAGAAAGATTTGAGTTCAAATCCAGCCTCAGACACTTACTAAGACCTTGGGCAAGTCATTTAACCTCTGATTGTCTCTGTTTCCTCCACTGTAAAATTCAGATAATAATAGCACCTACCTCCTATGGTTGTTCTGAGAATTATAGTAATAGGTAACATTTATATAGTTATCTCTTCCACATCCAGGGGCACAAGGGTACGGTACCCCAGCAACCTGGAAAATCCATGTAATTGGACCTCCCTTTGTATCAGAGAAGTCGTTTGAATTATTAAGGTATTAAAGGATTAAATATGTTGATATTATACAATACTAAACATATATTTCATGCATTTCTGAGTTTCTAAACTTTTTCTGTGTCGTCTGCTAGCCTCTGCATATCATCTGCAACTTCAGAAAAACTCCCAAAAAATTCCCATTTAATTTCTTATGCTAACCTGCGATATATTGAAATGTGGAAGGGATAACTGTAGTGCTTACTCTGTGCCAGATACTGTGCTAAGTGCTTTACAATTAGTATTTCATTTAATCTTCTTAATAACCCCGAGAGGTAAGTGCTATTATTATCCCTATTTTACATAAGGAAACTGAGGCAGATAGAGGTTAAATGACTTGCCCAAGGCCACACAACTAGCACGTGTCTAAGGCCAGATTTGAACTTAGTTCTTCTTGACTCCTGGCACAGAGCTCTACTAGGCCATCTAGCTGTGCACAAATGAGATACTAATTGTAAAGCACTTAGCACAGTACCTGGCATACAGTAAGCTCTGTATAAATGTTAGTTGTTGTTGTTATTAAAAGCTTGAGAGGTAGGATGGAAAAAGATTGCCTGAAAATGTATATTCACCTTTCTTTGTGCAAAAGAAAACCATTACGTGTTCTGATGAGATGTAAAGATACCAGTAAAATATAAAATTTTTAAGGGCAAGTACTCTTTTTTGTTTTGTCTTTCTATGCCTTGAAATTTTTGGGGTCCTTATTTGGGATTTCATCCAAACCCAAAATTTCCTCCTTATCTATGAATGCACTTTGGTGACTTGTCTGGGCACTGAGAAGACTACATGAATTGCTCAGGGTCACAGGCAGTATGTGTTGGAGCCAGTATTTTAATCTAGGTCTCAACTCCTAGATCAAGATTCTCTGCCTTGCATATAGGAGCCTAATAAATGCTTTAATTGATTGATATTAAGGAAGATTAATTTGTCAGCAGTGTGCAGAATGGAAAAGGGAGAGTATAAATGTTCATAAATAACTGTAATAATCTAGTTGTGTAATAGCAAAGAGTATGGATTAAATGTAGCAAAAAAAAAAAAAAGGGAAAAAAGATGTGGTTAGCCACAAATTAATTCCTTTTTTGGTTTAGGACCACTGATTTCATTGGTATAGGGAATTCCCTCATGAAGAAAATCCCCGCTCTATCAATAAAGATGATTATTCTACAAATTACAGTCTAAAAACACTTGCCTGGAGAACAGAAAGTTTAAGTAACTTGTCCATAATAACAAAGCCATTATGTGTCAGAGCTAGAACTAGGAAGGCAGGTCGTCCAAACCAGTCCTCTATTCCATGTTGCCACCCATAGCTTAATAAGTAATTCTTTTAATAAACTAAAATTTAATGGACTAGAAATGAATCAACAATGAAAGGGCTTCTTATGCTAATAAAACAAATGAATGCAAAAGCAAATTAAAACTTAATTATACTGAAGTCTATCTGAAGTAATTCATTCTCACCTAATTCTACTGAAGCATTAACTACTGAAACAGAATGTTTACTATATGTGTAAAAAATAACCAAATTACTAGGTTGTTAGGAAAAAATTAAAGTGCTGAAGGTTCTCACAAGAACAAAAAACATACCAAAGAATAGAGAAAGGCAATGCAAGTTGGAAGAAGAACTGAACAGTTAGATAGACATTTACCCCCTCAGAATGAGATTAACAGAAAAGCAAGGGCAGAAGATAGAGGATAATTTAAGAATATGACACAATTTCATAAAAAGAATGAGTGTCACGAGTACGTAAAGCTCAGAATGGGCTGAGAGGTGTCAAAAAGCTAAGGACAATATAAAGGATTTTTAAAACTATGTGGAGGAAAGAGAAAAATAGAAGAAAGTAAACCTTGAGTTGGACACGAGAATGATAAGAGAGAATGCAGTTACTCAAATTTTTATTTTGTATGTTTTCTCTGCCAAGAAGTGACTTTTGCACTGGAAATTAAGGAACAAAAATGGCTAAGAAAAGTATAGACATGATAAGTGAGCACCCAGTTGTCTTTGATGAATTTAAATCAACTGGCTCAGACAAACCACATTTTTTGGAAATAATTGGTAGATGTGATTGTTGAGCCATAGTCAGTGACTAGCAGAGTGACTAACACAATATAAAAGCAGAATAAATGCTTCTTCAATGTGTAAAGTGGAGAAGGGGCAAATGTTATTTGTATATTCAGAGTCCACAAACTACAAGCCAGTTAGCTTGACTTCAATTCCTGGAAAATTCTAGAATGGATCATTAAGATGATCATCAATGATAATCTTGAAAAGGAAGCAACAATGATTAAAATGGCTTCATAAAGGACAGACCAATCTAATCTCCTTTTTTGACAGGGTATTACTAAACTGGCAGATCAGAGAAATGTGCTACAATTTAACTAAATTTTCTTGATGGAAAGATGTGGTACTACAGTTAGATGGATCTGAAATTGGTTGAATGGCAAAAAAAAAAGTCATTAATGAAGAAGCAGCAATGGTTCAATAGAAAGAGTAATGGATTTATACTTAGGGGAATTCAGTTCAAATCCTACGTCTGCCCCTAAATACTTATATGACCTTGGGCAAAAGTTCACTTTCTGTGGCCCTTAATTTCCTCTCCTGTAAAATAAGAGGGTTGGTCTAGATGGTCTCTCAGGTCCTTCTTAGCTTTAAATCAATGATCCTAACAAATGTCAATGTTAATTTGGTGCTTTTAGCAATGATTTGGATAAAGTTATAAAGAAAACACATACTGATAAAATTTTGCAGATGACAAAGTTGAGAGACTTTGTTACACTGCAAGACAGATGGAAAGATCCAAGATTTTGAAAAGCTAGAGCAGAGATTCTTAATTTATTTGGGTTATGGATTACTCAAAACAGTGTTCCTAAATATGTAAAATAAAATGTATTAGGATTACAAAGGAAACGACATATACTAAAACACAATTATCAAAAATTAAAAAAAAAATCTCTGATATAGGTTAAGAAAGCCTAGACTAGAGCACTTGACCGAAATCCATGAAAATGAAACCTAATAGGGATATATATGAAATCTTACACTTGGGTGCAAGAAACAAAACAAAACAACAATTTCAAATATGGAATGGTATTGGCAGGAGTGGCCTTGGGGGGGAGGGACAAGGTGATTATGGGCAAGCCACTTACCTCTCTCAGTGACCCTAGGCAACTCTCTAAGATTAAGTGACAAGGACTGCAAGTGCGGGACAAACACAAATTATTCACACTATGTAAAATCTGAAACTGACAAGGTTTTATAAGTAGAAATGACTTAAAAAGATGCATGAGCATTTGCTTTGCCAACTGTACCCCAAAGAACATCAAACCTTTCAATCTGACTTGCAGCTAAAACCTCCTATGTGTGCTTGTTGTCTTCCCCCGCTAAACTGTGAGCACAGTGCCTACAAAGGGGTAAGAAGAGCTTAATACTCCTTCCTGCCTTTCCAGTTTTCTTACACCTCCTTGCCCTCCACATACTCTTAAAATTCTGTTGTTCCCCAAATAAGACCCTCCTTTGCCCTACTTGCTACATTTCATTGGCTATACCCAATGCCTGGAATTATCTCCATCCTCCCCTGACTGGCCTCTCCACCCTACTCTTGCTCTAAGATAAAATTCCCCTTAGCCTTTCACGATTTCCAATAACAACAACAACAATAATAACAGCTAACACTTATCACCACCTTCCTGGCACCAGCCTTCCCTCTATTAAGTTATGGCCAATTTATTTTGCATATATAAGCACATGTATATTGGGGTATGTGTGTATGTATGTACATTTGTATGTATTTGTTTGCATGCTGTAAGCCACTAGGACTGGTTTTTTTTTTTTTTTGGAGGGGATGACAGTCTCTTAATGCTAGTACCTTCCCTTTGTTAAATTCTTTCCAACTTACATTACATAATACATACAAAAATACACATTTATCTTCCACATATAGAAGCAGTTTGCACACATTTGTTTGCATGTGTCTTCTCCGTTAGACTGTGAGCCACTAGAAGACGAAGATTTTTTTTTGGGGGGGAGTGTTATTATCCCCTTAATGGTAGTACCTTCTATTTGTTAAATTCCCTCTAATTTATATTACATATATACATTTATCTTGCACATATATGTACATATTTAATTGCATGTTGTCTCGCCCATTGGGCACTAGAAGAGTTTTTTATGGGAGGGGGTTTAGGGTGTCATTCCCTTAATAGTAGTGCCTTTCCTCTGTGAAGTTATCTGCAATTTATCTTGCATACACAGATATACCTTTGTACATATTTGTTTGCATGTAGTCTCCCTCATTAGACAGTGAGCTATTCAAGTACTGGTTTTTTGGGGGGTGTGTCATTCCCTTAACGCTAGTGCCTTCCCTTTGTTAAATTCCCTCCAATTTACATTACATATATATATATGTTTTATCTTGCACATATATATGTCCATATTTAATTGCATGTTGTCTTCCCCATTAGACTTTGAGCCACTAGAAACAAGGATTTGTTTTGTTTTTGGAGGCGGTGCCTTTATATCCGCAGGATTTAGCACAGTGCCCTGGTACATAACAGGCGCTTAATAAATGCCTGCAGATTTGACAGGGAGGGTCTTTTCTGTTAGTAACATCCTCACTGTACTACATAGTACATAGCACATACATAGTACAACATACCTAAGTACTTAACGGTATTTAAGGGCACCATCGGCAGCCCTAAACCAAGACAAAAGACAACAGCGCAGTCTTTCTCTCCAGAGACCCGGGGAAGCAAGGGCCGCGGAGACCGCAGGGGGCAGCCACCCACCAAACCCCTACGGTCCGACCCCCACCCTGGAAACTGGAGCAGGGAGGAGACTGAGGGGGGATTGAATGAAGCCACAGCATCCCGCCCACTCCCGCCCCGCCCCCGCCCCGCCCCCGGGCCACGCCCGCACTGCGGCAAACCCTGGAGCTGGCCTTCACACACCAGCCGAACCCCCCGCCCCCGGCCCCTGCCCCGGAGGGCGCGGAACCTCCCGGGCTCTGCCCCCTGCCAGCCCGCCCGCTCCGTCTCCTCTCACCCTCCGCAATGTTGCGGTTGCGCTTGAACTCTTCGATGTCGTCTTCGCAGAAGGCCTGGCAGAGGTTGAGGCAGAAGAAATCCAGCATCCATCCGCAGGCCAGCGAGTCGGCCGCCGGATCCACGGTGTAGGGCACGGGCTCGTCTTCCTCCCCTTCCTCACAAGGGATGAACTGCCGCTTCATGGCCCGGATATATGCCCGCTCCCGCGACGACTTGGGCGCCATGGCAGTGCCTTCACTTTCCAGCAACCAAGGAGCCCTTCCGTCCAGGTCTCTCTCCGCAGCAATTTAGAAAGAGGCTGACGGAAGCGAACAGGTCGAGGGAGAAGGGACCGCCCACCTTCTTTTATAGTCATCTTCTGCCCCCTGGGCGAGCTTCCATGACCAATCAGAACCCGGAAGCAGAGTAGGGGTCCGTTCTGATTGGCTGGAGGTTGCTTCAGTCATTCTGACGCGCATGCGACCCGCCTTCTCTGCAGCAAACGAAAAATTGATCACTTTTCTGCATCTGTGGTTCTTTGAACTGTCTAGAAAAGATGACATAATGACAGAATAAAAACAACAACAACAACAACAACACCCGAGAATTATGTATTGAAAACAGAAATACTTGCTGCCTACAGTGCTTTGTTATTTTTTTTGCCTCAGGTTGTAGAGAAAACATGAGTCTGGAGTGTAATGACTTTGCTAATAATTGACTGTAGCATCTTGAGCCAGGAGACAACCTTTCAGGGCTGGATGGATGGAAGGTTCGGGGACATCTTTATTCTTCCTAGCTCCAGGGTTTTATTTTAAAAGTGTACAAATAAAACACTATCACTATTCCACGGTAACATTTTATATCCAAATGTTTACCACAATGTAGCTACGCAATTACAAGAACTGACATTCTTACAAGTGGCCACAATTTTTTTTCTAGGACATCACTAGATAAAGGATCCTGGATTTCAAGCAGAAAGAGACTTTAGAAGTCATTGAATACAAAATATTACAAATGAGGAAGCCTATACTCAGAGAAATTAAATGACTGACTGGAATCACACAGCTAGTAAGAACCTAGGATAGATAGATTCCAGGGAAATTTTGTACAAGAACAGGTACCAGGTAGGTGTTCACACATTTTAAGGAAAGGATAGGTTCGGCCTGTGAGTTGCTACCAAAAAAAAAAAAAAAAAAAAAAAAGGAAGGAAAGAGTAGGGAGAAATGAAAGGGAAAAGGAAGACAGGCGAGAGGGTGGGAAGGAAGGAGGAAGGAAGAAAAGAAGGCAGGAAGGAAGGAGGAAGAGAGGAACAAAGGAAAAGAAGGAGGGAATGGAGCCAGAGGATTTTATATTTTATTTTGGGGGTACTAGGGAGTCATTAGAGTTAACTGAATAGGATTGTGTGTAACATGATGCGAACTGCACTTTGGGAAGGCCACTTTAATATACTTGAGTTGAAGATGGGCTACAAGTAGTGGAAAGATACTTGAGACAGGGAGACCATCAGAATTCTATTGAAATAGTTCAGGAATGAGGATGACACTTAGGTTGCAAGCCTGGGTGACTGGGAGAATAAGGGTCCCTCTAAAACATTAGGGAAGTTAGGAATGGGGGAGAATTTAGTGGCAAAAATAATGAGTTCAGTTTTGGACATATTGAATTTAATTTGGTTAAGGCAATTCAGTTTGAGATGTCCTATAGGCTAGTTGGACACTGGATGCTGGGAGAGAAGTTAGGTAAGAGGTTAGGGAGACTGGTAGATCAGAGTCATCTACATAGTGATGGCAATTAAATCCTTGGGAGCTGATAAGGTTTGACCTGGTTGATCCAGGAAAGGAGAGTGAGAAGGAAATAGATAGGAGAACTAGGAGGGAGTAGTGTCATGAATTTCTAGAGAGAGAAGAGATTATATTCCTCCTATCAAAGCTTTGTATTCATTGAAACTATGTAGAATACTATGATAGATGTGGGTAATAGAATGAAGTACATGTAAGATATGACTTGTCATGAAAGTTTCCAGTCTAGTTAGAGAGGGAAAAACTCATAAAAAACTAAATAAATAACAAATGAAAAGCAATATAGAGTTTCCAAGTAAGTGATCAGATAATAGGTGTTAGAAGGGTATGGGATGGTCAATGAAGTGTTCACAGATGAGATAAGACTTGATCTGGTTAGGATTTAAATAAGCAAAAAGATACAGGGTAGATGAGAAACAAATGATGGTGTTTAAAAAGTATTTATGAAAGGGCGATTTTTGGAAGTTCTAAAAAACTGGGCTATCCATACAGATTATTAGCGCAGTAGATGCTACATATCTGGAATCTTAGAATTAGAGAATTTCAGAGTTGGAAAAGTTAAGACCAGTTAAATTGTGACTGGCACCCACAGTCTATTCCACAAAGTCTAGTTTGTGAGAGTTAAAGGATCTTCCCCTAATGCATATAATGTTTGTTATTCAGAATTTATAAAATGCCGTCCTTTGTGAATATAAATGAATTGAAGGTGTAAGCTTTGGTGTATATAATGTTATTTGTTATCTGAAAAAAAAATTTAAATACAAGGCTACCTTTTCCTTTGTGAATGTAAATAGATACATATTAAGCACTTAACAGCTTTCCCAAGCATTGTACTACACTCTGGGGATACACTTAAAATTAGCAAACAAGAGTGGCCCTACCCTCAAGAAACATATTCTAATTCTAACCTTACATTCTTCTATTCTAACAACAAATTAAGGAGTACTAGAAAGATGAGAAGAAAGCAGAAAGTGATGGAAGAGAAAGAGAAGGAAAGCAGAAAGCCCCCACACACAAAAACCCCAACCCCTGCCCCCCCCCCCCAAATCCTCACCTGTCAGAGCTGGAAGGAGCCAAGAGTGGAGTCTGTGGGATAGAGGGAGTCTGAGAATAAAACCATGGTAGGGAGACTGCAAGAATTTAAGACAAGGCAAAAAGCATTCCAATCAAGTGAAGGTGGATTGAACAGAGAGTATACATGCATGTACACATTTATGCTTAGCTATGTAGATAGATGAGATCTACCCTCTAATGATATGCATATTACTTGGTTGTTAGTTCTTTTTTTCTTTTACAATTTCCGTTCCCTTACTTTCTCCAAAATCAGATCATGCTTTCTTATGTGGATTTCTAATGGATACTAAAACCCCCTGCCAGTGAACCATTGTTTTTTTTCTGGGGAAGTTATCCAGAACTGATTCTGGCAAAGTTCCAGTAATTTAAAAATGAAGAGAATTCTGTCAGGGTTTTGGGTATCTATACTAATTTTTAAATTACTCTGCACATGTCAGATACTAAGTGATTTGGGTGTTCCCTTCAACTCTAAAGGCAACAATAGCATTCTTGGCTACCCATAATTGTGAAACTTCTGATCATGTCCTTCCTTAGTCAATCAGTCAGCTAGCTTTATTAAATACCCAGAATGTGCTAGGGATACAAAGAAAGGCCAAAAAAAAAAAAAGAATACAAAATCAACCAATCAAGCAACAACAAAACAGTTCTTACTATCAAGGAGATAGGTAATGATGACCACTACTACTATCATTTCAAGGAGATATAATCTAATGTGAGAGATGACATATGAACAACTATGTACAAACTCATATAGCATATAAATAGAGAGTAGTAATTGAGAGGGAAAACACAAAGTTTAAAGAGGCCTGGGAAAGGCTTCTTTAAAATGAGACTTTAACAGAGATTTGAGGGAGCATGAAGACAGCTAGAAGGCAGAGGTAAAGAGGGAGAGTGTTTTAGGCAATGTGAGATAACCAGTGAAAACTGGCATTGGAGATGGAATGGCCTATTGTAAGATCAGGAAGGAGGCCAGTGTCACTGGATTGCTGAGAATGTGGAAGGGAACAAGGTGTCAGAAGACTGGAAAGGTAGAAAGGGTACAGTATACGAAGGACTTTAGAAGACAGAAGGTTTTATATTTTATCCTGAAGATGATAGGGAGTCACTGGAGATTATTGAATGGTGATTGGGGGCAAGCAGTGATATGGTCAGACTACTTACATACTTCATCTACTTGGTTTATTTTGTGTAGATAGTAATGTGTGTCTTCCATAGTGCCTTGGCTCTGCAAAGTTCTGGGGCTTGATGCAACCAGCACAATGTCATGTGCAAATAGGAGGATCTGGCAGAACCCATTATCCATAGTGAATCTTTTAAATTTGGATTTTGCTCTGTATCCCTTCCATTACAGTGGCTCCCTGGTCTATGCCTCACCAGATAGTAATGTTCAGAAGATCATACAGCAAGGTTATTTCCATTGTTCTGTCTTTCAAGGAATCTTGGATTTTCATCTAAGGATGAAAGACAGTTTTACTAAAGAGAACTGTTACTGACTTTGGCATTCACTAGTCATGCTCTTTTAGCTTTCTTATTGTAGTGCTTTAATTTTTATCAGTTAAACTTTGCATTAAATGATAATAATCAGTGTCCATGGCCTTGTTTCCATCCATTATCCATTTTTATTATTATTATTTTTATTATCACACAAATAATGTCAGATCTAAACAATTAGAAAAATATTAATTGCTCATGGGTAGGCTAAGCCAATATAATAAAAATGACACTTCTACCTAAATTAATTTACTTATTCAATGCCACACCAGTTAAACTACCAAAAATTATTTTATAGAGGTAGAAAAAAATAACAAAATTCATCTGGAAGAACAAAAGGTCAAGAATATCAAGGGAATTAATGAAAAAAAAAATGAGAAGGAAGGTGGCTTAGCAGTACCACATCCCAAACTGTATTATAAAGCAGTAATCATCAAAACAATCTGATACTGGCTAAGAAAAAGAGTGATGGATCAGTGGAATAGATTAGGTATATAACACACAGTACTCAATGACCATAGTAAACTAGTGTTTCATAAAACCAAAGACCCAAGCTTTTGGGACAAGAACTCACTATTTGACAAAAGCTTCTGGGAAAACTGGAAATTAGTAGAGTAGAAGCTAGGTATTAGACCAACATCTTACACTGTATAACAAGATAAGGTTAAAATGGGTATATGATTTAGACATAAAGGGTGATACCATAAGCAAATTAAAGGAGCATGAAATAGTTTACCTGTCAGATCTATGGCTAAGGGAAGAATTTATGACCAAACAAGAAACAGAGACCATTACAAGATGTAAAATGGATAATTTTGATTATAGTAAATTTAAAAAATTTTTGTATAAGCAAACCCAATGCAATGAACATTAGAAGGAAAGCAGAAAACTGGAGAGGGGGGAATTTATAGCAAGTGTCTCTGATGAAGGCCTCATTTCTCAAATATTTAGAGAACTGAGTCAAATT